ATACATCCAAAGGAACTGCTGAAACTAGGGACTCGCACAAAAACACATACATGAATATTTGGAGCAGCACTATTCACAATAGGCAAAAAGGGGAAACAACACAAATGTCCACCAATAGATGAATGGGTTAACAAAATGAGATCTAACAATACAATGGAATATTACTTAGCCATAAAAAGGAGTGGAGTGCTGGCATGTGCTACAACATGGGTAACTCTTAAAAACCTATGCTAAGTGAAAAAAGCCAGACATGAAAGAACACATATCATATCAGTCAATGTAGAGTAAATGTCCAGTATAGGCAAATCCATAGAGACGGTAAGCTAATAGCTGTCAGGGACTAGAGAGAGGAAGAAATGGGGAGTGACTGCTTAATGGGTAGTTTCATTCTAGGATAATGAAAACTAGAATTAGTGTTGATAGTTGCACAAAATTGTGAATGTATGAAATGCCACTGATTTGTATGCCCGAGATATAGTGGTATGTTTTATAATATGTGAGATTTACATTTTTTTTTTAATCAGCCTTGTCTGTCTTGTTCAGGTCTGGGTCCCCAGGGTCTACAACAGTGCAAGTCACTCTGTAGGTGCCCATAATATAGTTTTTAGAGAAATGAGTGAAGGGACCAGAACCCAGGCCTCCTAGCTCTCAGTGTGGGTTCTTTCCCCATCAGGAAACTCCAGAAAGCTCCAGCCCAGTGGTTCTCAGACTCCTGGGAGCATGAGAGACTTACTTGGAGGGCTTGCTATCACTCAGATTGCGGGACCTTCACTCCCGAATTTCTGATCCAGAAGGTCTAAGCAGGGGCTGAGGATTTGCATGTCCAACAAGTTCCCTGCTGGCCTGGGGGTGGGCACACTTTGAGAATGAATGCTCTTTGATAGCCACTAAACCACAAGAAAGAACCTTAATTTGACCAGGATAGAGAAACATCAGAGTCCACATTTAATTGAGAGAGAGAGAGAGGGCGCAATTTCAACTATATAAAAACTGAACCACACACCAAAAAATTCAGTTGTTAAATTTAAATCAGCTTTTAAAAAATCTCTGAAGTGGTGACTGTTTTTCTATCAGATGAGTTTACAGTTTTTAAGGGGAATAGCTGGGCTATATGAGACCTACCTACATCTTCATCACAGACTCTCTCACACCCTCACTCTTCAGAGGTGAAGCTATACAGGTTTTTTGTAAGCTCCTGGAATAAAATAGTTTCTTCCCCACCCCAGGGCCTTTACACTTGCCGCCACCTCTACGTGCAACAACTCACCACCAACATCCTCACTCTTTCCTACCTTCCATGCCCATGTTCCTTCTCCTTTATCAAGCTAATTCCTTCACAGTCACAGAAGATACCCCCTCCAGAAAGCCTTCCCTGATAAATACACTAACTCAGGAATTGAAGGGTAATTTTAACATCAGAAAAATTTATTATCATATTAGTGATAACATGAGATGGCCATTTCAATGAATGCACTCAAACATTTAAATACACCATTATAATTTGCTTCAAACCAAGAACAAAAGGGAATTTCCATGACCTGATAATAGCTTTCAACCAAAAGGCTATCACAATCACATTTATATCCTTTGAAGACAGGAATGAGGCCAGAAGACACACTATTAGGACATCTGTTCAATGCTGTGTGTTACCTCTAGATATAGCAATAAAACAGGAAAAACTAACAGGAGGTATAAGGATCATCTAGAAAAAGAAACAATATTGCCAAGGGTAATAGGACTTTCTGCTTAGAAAATGTGGTGGACCCCACCACATCTGAGGAACATTTATTTCACATTTCTTCATGGTGGTAATTCCTTTGGAATAACATCCTGGGTCTCCCTTTGCTCTCTCACCTACCCCAAAAAGTAGTTTATCAAGTTTATTGCACCATCCTCTCTCCTCCCTTGGAGAGCCACCTCACCTATAGGAAATGCTCCTTCCTGCTCCTCCACACCATAATTTTTACAAAGGCAGGGCCACAAGAGACACCAGCCATTTTCCAGCTCTGGCTGCTACTGGGTACATTAACTATGGAATGGAGTATTAAGGAGCCTATGGTAACCAGAGATATAATCCATATTTCCCAAAGACCTCATTGGTAATAAAGGTGATCATTTTTACTCTGACCCCTACATTTACTTCTCAACTTGTTCTAAACTTGGGGGCAAAGCAATGGTCATATATAGTAATCCTCTCAAAACCCCAGACTATTAGAAATAATAAGAGATATCAGAGAGGTAACTGGATATGCTCAGTATATAAAAATCAGATTGTTCCTGTATGTAGCAGGATAACCAAGTAGGAAAATGTAATTTAAGGAAATTCCAGTTATAATTTTAAAATCCTACAAAGATATGTATGACCTTTGCATGTAAAGATCATATGCATGATCCTTACAAAGAAAATTATAAAATGTTAATGATGAACATTACCCAAAAAGGCCTAAGTAAATGGAGAGACAGACCATGTTCACAGGAAGATTCAATAATGTAAAGATGGCAACTGTCTTTCAAGTAAGGAGGCAGCTCTCTGTACACTGGGCCCCCCACATTCTCCATTTCCCAAAATTAAAAAGGAGAGTTTATCTTAATTTAAAAAATATTGGCCAAGAATTTTTTAATAGTAATAGTTACTTTTTTGGAGTGCTTACTTATTAAAGGAAGTATCACAATAACACTTGGACTAAGTACTACTATTATTATTACTTCCATTTTACAGACAAAGGAGATGAGACCAGAGAGGTTAATCAACTTGCCCAAGGGCACACAGCTAAACAGTGGTGGAGCAAGGGCTGGAGTGCAGTCTGGCTCCTAGCCTGGATTCTGATCCTCTGTACCCGCTGCTGTCAAGGTCATGCTGTGGTTCTCTGACTCTCTCTCCTACCTTCTGAGAAGCTGTTGTGAGTCGGGGGAGGTGAAGCTGCCGTGAGCTCACTGTGAATGCAGAGTTCTAGCCCCTTTGCCTGTGGGTTCAGGGGAGTGTGCTATTCAGTGTCCAAGGAAGAGGGTGAAAACGAGGCTTTATGTGGACAGATGAAGAATCTCTTCTTCACAAGGGAAATTTTTGCCCCTGAAATGTGAGCCATGACCAGGATTCTTAGAAACTCCAGGGAGCCCCTCCTCTGCATAGACAAGACCCCAGATCCCAGTGGATCTGCTTTATGTTGAATTCTGCTTCCCTCCCTCTCTCTTTTGTGACTTATTATCTTCATTCCCTTGCATTCTGCCCCCCACATACACATTCAGCTCCTACTTCTCAGGAAACACTCCCAAGAGGTTAGAAAGCCAGGTAGCGTGGTGAACTGAGAAGAGTCTGACTGCTGCCATTCCACACCCGCTGGGGCAAGTCTCTGCAGCATATTTCTGTGCCCATGGACTGAGTCTGGCACTGGTGAGGTGTGCACTACCAGCTCCCACTAGGTAAGGGGCACAGTGGTGCCCCACTAAGAACACATCCTGAGCCCTCAAGTTGCTCAGCTGAGAAAAGCATTTAATCAAGATAGAAGGATTTCAGATTTCCAGCAGTGATACAGCATTTGGGGACCCTGTAGTGGGGGGTTTTCCCAAGTCCACATCCCAGCTAGCTGCTCCACCCTCTAGCTGTGACCATAAATAACCTGCCTCTGGCAGGTGGGATAATGATTCCCCCACACCCATCCTCATTGCTGGCACCTCTGAATATGTTACTTTAGGTCATCAGGGTGGCAAGCAGAACTAAGGTTGCTCATCAACTGATGGGGAGCTCACCCTGGGTTATCTGAATGGGCCCAGGAAAGCCACAAAGGTCCTTCAGAGGGGAAGAGGTTAACAGAAGAGATAGTCATCGCTGGCGCTGAAGATGGACAATGGGAGACCCGAGCTGAGAAGGGGGGTAGCCTCTAAAGTCTGGAAAAGGCAAGGAAACAGATTCACCTCCAAAGAGGAGCACAGCCCTGAGGACACCCCAATATCAGCCCAGTGCAACTCATATCAGGCTCCAGAAGATAAGACAATAAATGTGTATTGTTTGAAGCCACTAAGTTTCTAGTAATTGTTACAGCCACGATAGAGAACCACTAAATCCTACCTAAAGCCCATCCATCATTGTCTCCTCATAGGTGGGAAAATGAACACAGCTACTGCAGAGAGTAGGTGTGATGATCAGATGAGATACCGTCTAAAAATTGGGCTACGGGATTTGGCCCATAGGGTGCATCATTGCTGAGAAATTCCGTAACTTTGTCCCTGAGCCAGCCTGAGCCAGCCTCCCTTGAAATAGGCCTCTGTCGCCCAGATGAATGGGCCTCCCTCCTTAACTGAATTTTTAGAGATTTATTTTATTTATGCATCCAAGAACTGGGATATAGGCCAGAGTGGGGGGTTAGGGGGGAGATGTGAGAAGATTCACCAAGGACAGAATAGGGAGCAGAACAGACAGATCTACTGAAATACACTGCTGAGGGGAGCAACGGATGAGACTGGAAAGGTCTGCTTCACCTTGTGGGTCAGCTCCCTGGCTGGGGATCGAACTCATGCTGCAGTGGCTGGTGATAGCTTCATTGTGCTGAGATTTAATCCCCTGCACCACCAGGGAGGCCCCTCCTTACCTATTTTTTTGATGCAACACTCTCCCTACGACAGTTCAGCCCATCTTCCTTGCCCTCCTCATTCATATCTGCTTTTGTTCATTTTTGAAAGTCCAATGTCAGATCCTAGGGGTCGTGGGCTGGTAAGAGACCCAGGGATACAGAGGGGCAACCCACTTTCCACAAGAAGTCGCTCCTTGGCTAGAAGACCAACATGCACCTGGGGTTAAATTATAGCTCTATTTCCAGAGTAGGAATAATTCTTTACCAAAAAAAGATGACCCTCTTGGAAAAATGGCTGGGCCTTTGTATTTTCACAAATTCATTCATGCAAGGAACACTAAGTTTTCTGATGCTGGCATTACGAAGATAAGCAAGGAAGGCAAAGCTCTGCTTTTCTTCTGTAAGGAAAGGAGACACCACAGAAAGCAGATTTAACAGTGGTGTTTATTAGAGCAGAAAAAGTCAGGGTGGGGGAGTAAATAACTGACCCTGTAACTCCAGCCCCAACAAGCATGCTTCTCTGTCCTTTGGGCAGGCAGCCTGGCCCCACTCCTGTCCGGCAGGTCCCACTCCATGGGCCCAGGTTCGATTCTCCTGCCCGGAGATTGATTTTTTTTTTAATATTTATTATTTATTTATACAAGCACTGGGTACAGTCAGAAGCACGGGAGGGTGAGAGAATTCACCAGAGCCAGAGCGGAGAGCAGAACAGGCAGAAGGACCGAAGTACACTGCTGAGGGGTGCAGTGGGCGGCAGGAGAGGTCTGCGCGCCATGTGGCACCCTCGCCGGTGGCCGGGGATTGAACCAGCGCTGCAGAGGCTGCGGGCAGCTTCGCAACCCAGTGCTCAACCGCTGCACCACCACTGGGGATTGATATTTTAAGCTATTGGTTTGAATGGGTTATAAAGATTAGGAAAGTGAAGCAGCAGATACATTTGCCATCAGACCCCAGGGCTACCTTTGCCAAGCCCTCCATTCACAGGGTCTGGAGACGCCAATTTCTGTGAGTGAAAGACACACCAGAGATGCAGCCACATCTTGTTCCAACATTATCCCGGCCATCGCTTATCAAAATGGCTGCTGGAAAAGAGGAGGAAAATAAAGCCCTGGTTAGAGAATGATGCCATGATAAAGAAGGGGGGAGAGAGGAGACAGAGCAGGTGGAGGGAGCGGCAGCCTTGGAGCATCACTCCCTGAACACCTCCTGGTATGGAGGGGACAGGGCTAATTTCCACATATCGACTTTTTGGTGCTCAGAATAAGTATATGGGGGCGGAACTCCTACTATGCTCATGTTAGAGATGAGGAAACCGAGAGAGAAGTTGGACATTTTTTTTCCAACAAGCAGACTCAGGGTCTGAGTGTTCTGCCTCTCACTTCCAAGCTGACACGGCCCTCCAAGGCCTCCTTGTGCTCTTGCCATTGGGTACTGCCTGGAGTGAGGCCTCTGGGAATCCTGTGCTTTGCAGGAGCCAGGCCTCCTCCCCGCTCACAGCAGGATCCATTCTATACCCAGGGGCAAAGGCCTCTGTCACCCTTTGAGGGCACTGCCAAGGGCTTTCAGCATATCCTGCTCTGACACAGGGGTGGTAAGAGGAGCACATAAGAGAACAGATGTGCCTGCACCCTGAAAATTCTAAAGAGAAGTGCTCAAAACGGAATGTTCCCGTGTGGGATCACAGAAGCACAAGGCAACAATAGAACTATCAGATTCCCAGGCTGACAGGCTTGGGAAGGCAGAAAAACAGTGCTGGTCCTGCTGACAGCAGTGGTGATGGATGTCTCTGGTCAAGCCCATGGACACTGAACCTGCCTGGGGAGACACACTTCTCAGATACATATTCCAGAGTGACCTTTTCTAGCTGGCAAGTAGGGTCACGCCCCTTCCTTATTTGGGATCTCTTGATGATTCGCCCCCTCCTATCTCACCTGCCTCAATCTTGCCACTCCCAAATCCACAGGCCCCCCTAAGCAACTGGTCCCCCTAATACATGAGCTAGGAGGTCTCCAAGCCCAGATCCATGCTGCCCGCTACTGTCTCCTCAAAACAGATGGCCTGGAAGAAGGAACTTACAGGGTGGGTCCCAGCCCCTTACACAGGATGGACCACATTCCGGTTGCAGTGGGGCTTGCAGTGGGGGTTCAGCCAATGCTCCAGGAATTGTTCTTCGGCTCGCTGCTCCAGGCGGAGCAGGTGGTACATGTACTCCTGTCAAGACAAACACATGTTGGAGAGAGGCCTTTATGCGCAGGGACAGTCATGTTGCCGGCGTGTGGTGTGGTTGTGGTTCTGAGACCCGATGCAGCCACGGGCAGAAACCGCTGTGACCACGATTTGGTAGGAAAGACCAGTCATCAACCCTTTCCAAGGGCAAAATTGTAAAAACCTGACAATCCTAACAGCCGAGAGGGTTTGTATCCATGGAAACTCACATACACAGCTACTAGAGAACAGCTCAGCACAACCTCCAAAAAAGCGTTTGGCTTCTGCAATCTAGGAATTGCACTCCTTATTTATCAACATCAGAATCACCTGGAAAGCTCATGCAAACAGGTTTTTGGGCTCCACTCCCAGAGTTTCTGACTCAGTAGATCTGGGGTGGGGTCTAAGAGTTTGCATTTAAAACAAGTTTCCAGCCCATGTTGATACTGCTAGTCACTGAGAACAAAAGAAATCTATCAAAAGATGTATGTTGGAATGTTTGCAGAGACAGTAAATGGAGTGGCAAAACACTGGAGCTGTGTCAAATGGCCAGTGACAGGAGGAGGGACAAATTGATTATGGTACAGTCATGTTGTGGAATATTAGGCAGCAATGAACATGAATGAATTCTAGCTACATAAAACAACATGGGAGAGTCTTGTCACAGAGATAACACTGTCAATGGGGTTAAGTTATGGCTCTACATACCCTAGAGAAATGAAAATATATGCTCACACAAAAACTTGCACACAGATGTTGGAAGGTAAACAGTCCGGGTGTCTGGCTGTCACAGATGTCCTTTATTTTTCTCTGCTTTACTCAGATATGGAAGATAAACAAAACCCTGGATCTTTTATATTTCTCCTTCATTTACCTCATCCCAACACACCTTTGAAAAAGCCTCTTGAATAAACTCTCCTCAGTCATATTGGTTACTATTAGATAAGAAAGTTCTGAGCAGTCCTTGAGATTGTGGGATTAAGCATCTCTCCCAAGAACAGGCCCACAGGAAACCATCTGTAAGTGCCTCTGGAATGAAAGACTAAAGTCACGTTCCCCAAAGTGAGGTCTACACTCCCCTCTGGGCTCCACAAATTCAGCTCTATATTTATACTACTCAGCGTCACTTGCCCTCCCACTGTATGAGCTGGTGAGCCAAGGTCAAGGCAGTGGTGTCGACTGTCCTCATCCTATGGCATCGCTCACCATCATGCACTTGCAGTTAAAGAGAAATAAGAGTAAAACATTCTTAAAATGCCCATTTCGCTACAGAAGACACTGCTAAAGCAATGGGAAGTGACACAAGGGGAGCAGCAGCGGGTGCATCTACTGCAGGATGGAGCACTGTGAAAAGAGCCTCCAGGAAGAGCCCTGGGGGATTGTGGGTGTCAAGGATCGAACTGGCTGTGCCATATGTGCACCTCTCACTTCAAGGAAAACGCTGACAGTGCGTGTTGCTAAATATCAAAATTCGCGCTTTCAAGGGGAAACTGGGATTTTGTGTCTGCTCCCAGAAGGCATAGCTTCTGGCTACTTAAGGACATTTTTTTTTAAGTTTTTTTAGTATTTATTTATTTACGCATACAAGAGCTGAGGTGTAGGCCTGAGGAGAGGAGGGAGACGGGGTGGGGGTGAGAGGATTCACCAGAGAGAGAGTGGGGAGCAGTACAGGTGGATTAACTGAAATACACTGCTGAGGGGATTAGCAGGCAACACAAGAGAGATCTGCTGTGCCATGTGAGTAGCTCCCTGGCCAGGGATCGAACGCATGCCGCAGTAGCTGCTGATAGCTTCACAGTGTTGAGACTTAATACCCTTGTGCCACCAGGGAGGCCCCCCAATACTTAAAGACTTTTCTGATGAGATCCGTGGTGATATCAATGAATGTCCCCTCTGACAAATAGCATTTATACAACTTTTATAGTCATATGCTCATTTGTATCCTTACTCATTTTTATCCTCATAGTTCAGAGATCTTTTATTTTTTCCATATCTATCATGCCGTGAATTCCTAAGGAATGAGTTCCAGCAGCTCAGTGCCTTCCCATTCCTGCTTTCACACAGTGTGCTACTCTGGGTGGAGCAGGCTACCACTTCAATTGAACCCAAACATTTTTCTCTTTGGCTTCCTTGTTTTTCTAATCATTTCATTCATATGTATCAGGAAGCCATCTCAGCTCAAGACAGACACTAATTTTTTTGGCAAGAATCTTGCCCTTGTGTGTTTACAATGCCAAGTGCATACTGGGTAACATTATAGACTCTCAGTTTTGCCATGGTAACATGTGTGGGGCTTTCTTCCTTGAACAGCACCCATCCCCTTAATGTGTACAATACCACCTTTCTTGTATATTCGCATGTATGTGGCTAAAGGACCGACCAACTCCTTTTTGAAAGGAACTGGAGAACATATATGAGGTACCTCTCCTCTTTCCCATCGTACTGGTCATTTTAGCACTTTACTGGAAGATGGTGGTTCCAGCCAAAAGGCTCCTAACTCATTTATTCCCTATCCCTCAGCAACCATCCAACTGACCAAGGTATACCTAAGCGTACAGCTTAGTGCTTGGCACATAGTAGGACCTCAATAAAACTCAGTTGTGAAATGCACAAATGAGTAAATAAAGACACAAAATGATGCTCATTCTCCAGAATCTTACCAAATCCTCCTTAGAAGGATCCTTGACATTGGTGTCAATCTGCTCATTATAATGGCCTGGGCCCAAAGCACACCAAATCATGGAGGAGGCATATATATTTCACACTCCTAAACAGCAGCTGAAATCATCATTGAAGAGAAACAACCAAAACAAGCACACACATAGAGAAAGAAACGAGCCCTGGTTTCCATGACATTTCACTATTTATTTAAAATGTTAGGAAAGTGAATACGCCACAAAGACCTAAAAGCAATCATTAGTCAAAGATGAAAAGCCAAACTGCAAATCTGCTGAAAACCACAAATTCAACAATTGCGTTGGCTGAGTTAGAAATGACCCAGCATTAATGATAATCTCAAATGTTCCTGGATCAAGAAAGACAGGGTAGATGGAAAAGAAGTTTTCATTTTTTCAGACGCCTGACTTCAAGAGGAAAAGAATGAAAGCAAAACAAAGGCCAGTATCTGCGTCCATGTGCAACGCCGACGGTGACGATTTAAGTAAATAACATCTCAGCAATTAGAGGAAAAATTGGAAGTGGTCCTTCATGACGGTACTGGAGTGAGGAGATCACAAAATTAAAACCCCAGCAGAACCTGATCTGAGCTAAGAATCTTAAAGTGAACAGCTAATCTATCAAAGGAGGGAACTTTTTCCAAGAAGGCAAAATCCTTCCTGTGACATTTGCGTGGATTAAAAGGCCCAGCCACATTTGGATGAATTCTTTTGCTCGTTAGAAAAAGCAAGGTAATCCCAGAGGTAGGAGGGTGGCTCAGACCTAAGTGCACTGTGACACTAAAAGGCAGAACACTGAAAGAAGGCACATTGGGGATGTGCACTGTTTACAGCTCATTGTCTCCCAAGGGGTCTTTGAGATCATGGGGAGCCAAAGGATAATGGAGTTTCTATACACGTTTGTCAAGAGGAGAATCATGAAAGTGTATTTCACAGAGACTACTCACAATAAAGCTAATATGATTTATATTTGCTCAAGAAGAACATTCCTTACAAGAACACAGGCCAAAATGGAAAGCTTATTCCCAGGGCATGCAAGCACTTCACAAATACAATCACAGAAGGCATCCTTTTGGCCTGGATGTCATCTTTTCAAAGAATTGTCATAGTTCCAGCAGTTGGCAAATAATTTCTTCCCTAAAACTTATGGTGATTAAGAGAAATTTAATGAAGGTAAGTGAGGCAATAGAAAAGAAATTCAGATTTCTTTGAAATAACTCCCAGGTTCCTTGGTAGAGTTATGTCCTGCAAGAGTTCTCCCCTGAGAGAAGCAAAGGAAGGAATGGAAATAGTATAGTGAGCATTTAGTAAGTGCCCAATACCGTGCTTGGCACTGGGGACCCAGAAGTGAGACAAGCTGTCTCCTCAAGCCCTTTAGACCAGTGTCATAGCTTCTGCGTCATCAGGCAGCAAGCCCATTGCTCAGTCACAGCTGCAGAGGGTAATGACAGCACCCAGCAGAAAACAACTTCAAGCTCAAGGTCAGGTGTCACCATAAAACCAATGCCTTAGCTGTGCCCTGAGGCAGGGAACTGCACAATGGTGTGCCCTTCATGGGGTGACTTCTCTTTCTAACCCCCCTTCACATCCCCACGTGGGCCTTTCATCCTCCTCCCCAACCTTCCCAATGCCCCTACCCCACCCCCTCCTGCTGCCTCCAGACATTCAAAGCCCTCTTACTTGCTTACCCAGAGCCATCTGTCTCTCCTGGTCTTCTTCTCCAGCCCCACTGGGCCCTGCCTTCCCTTAGCAAGGGTCCTAGAAAGATGGGAACTGCCCCCCCACAATGCAGGGGCCACCAGCAATCTCTCCAATGGCATTTTGTCCTTCCCACCATACAGTCAGAAGAGAACAGTCATTGCCCCAAACTAGCAGGATCCCCAATGTTTAAACCCTGCAGCTCCTCCCATGTGAGGCACAGCTCATCTGAACCGCTCTCAAAAAGCCTATAATTCCACAGAAACCACTATCTGCCCATATTTAAGCCAAGTATCAAGACAATAAACATTGCTTAATAGGTATTTACAGGGAGAGGATACTGTGGCTCTTCATACTCGTTTTCATTTTAAATTTTAATACCTCCCAAAGCACTGTTCATTTGCCCTCCTCAGGGGTCCCTCCCCTCTGTGAAAGGTATGGGTTTAGGGGTATTTGTTTGTTTGGGGTTTGGTTTGGGGTTTGGTTTGGTTTTCTTGGGTTTTTTATTTGTTTGGGTTTGGGGCCCAGTCTCTGAGAAGAGAGAATCAAAATGATTCTCCAACCAGTCATCTCTTGGTCACTTGAGTTAGTGATGAGGACATGGGTGTCGGGGTTCGGCTCCCAAGGTCACACTCTCCAGAGGCCACCTCTGCTCATTTGTCCCAGCCCATCTGTCTCCTGGAAACATGGCAAAGAGGTGATTTAATGTGTCCAAAATGTCATTTCTCATTTCCCATGTAAAAAAGCATTGAAGTGCCAGCATTTAAGAGACTGTGTCCTGAACCTCTAAATGGCTCCCGTAAACCAGCTCTAATCACATCATTCCTCTGCCTAAAATCCTTGGCATCTCCCAATGAACACACAACAAAAGTCAACTCTGCTATGACAGCTGGGCTTCCAGCCTGGCCTGAAAAGACCTTCTGCTGTCATTCCATACAGTCAAGGTGAAAAGTGGAAAGAAGGGAATTGGAATCCTGACCATCTGAAAAAATTATTCTGCAAGTCCTTTTCCAAAACACATATGCACACACCCTTCCACATGTACACAAACATTCAGTCATCACATACACACATACCCTCACACACTCATACCTCCTCACACACACAATATTTGCAATCCTGAATATACAGGATGGCACCTCCAGCCTTCCCTTTTCCCTAGCAAAAGGATACCCATAAGCAGATGGTTTGCACAAAGAAAGAAGGGTAGGAAGTGGTTTTGGCAAAAGATAAAAGAGAAGGAAGGGTTGGCTCCCTAGAATCAAAGGGCCTTAGGCTCTGAGCTCCTTGATCCCCAGATAGGAGCTGTAAGAGTTCTAACCTCCAGCCCCTGCTTCCCCTACACTCAAGCACTCCCACCTTGCAGCCTCCTTACCACCTGCTGACAAATGTGGGTCATAGTGTGTAACCCATTCAACACTGATGCAGGTCCACAGTCATTTTGCTGTTACTTATTCCATTAAAAGGAGCAAGTCATCCCTTTCTTTTTTTAATTTTTTTAATTAAATGCTTATTTTTGCATAGAAAAACTGGGGTACAGGCCAGAGACATGGGCAGGGGAGCCATCAGAGATAGAATCTGAAGCAAAATAGGCGAACCTACTGAAATACACTAAGAGGAGCAGTGGGTGAGACAGGAGAGGTGTGCTGAGCCATATGTGGGTTAGCTTCCTGGCTGGGGGCTGAACCCAGGCCGCAGCAGTGACAGTGCCAAGACCCAACCCTTAGGCCACCAGGGAGGCCCTAATTTACCTCTTTCTACGTGACAAGTGATCAGTTTTGTTCATTTTGCTCTCAGTAAATCCATTAAAAGGAAAAGTCAACTATAAGGGGAGGGAACAGGTCAAAGAGTAAGAATAGGACCAGCAGGGTAAGCAGGATGAGGGAGGGCCAGGGATTTTCAGAAAGACCCTCCAGCCTATGTTCCTGGCCAGGTCTGTGACACACTGTCCAGGCCACAGGGCAGGAAACCTTTGTCATCCCTGAAGCTCTATCCAGAACTCTAAAGATGAGGCCTGGAATGAACCTTCTGGCCAGATTCAGAGCCAAACTGCATTTTACAGAGAAAACTAGGCTCTGGAAAAAGGAAATGACTTGCCCAACGTCCAAAGTCCACAACTAGCTAGTGGCAAAATAGGATGAAATATTCTTCCCACCTGAAAACTCATCCTTCAAGCCTGGGTCCTGAGCTCATCCTTCAAGCCTCCTCCAGGAAGCATTCCCAGGCTCCTCTCCTCCCAGACCTCTTGTACCAGGCCACCTTAGTAGAGTTCTTGAGTCAGGCTGGAACTGCAGCTCTGAGTCCGCACAATGGACACGGGCGCTCAGACAAAGGCAGCTTGTCGTGGTGGCAAGAAGAGCTCTCTGTATGCACCGCCTGGTCCTCTCTGTCTGTCTGAACTGCCTGGACAACTCCCCACACCACTTAATCCCCACACCACTCAGTTTGACATTTGTCTCCTCAATGTTCCACACCGAAAGTTTTTGTGTTTCCAACCAGACTACTGAGCTGACCCTACACCCGGTGGCTTTCTCCCAGAAGGCCTGGCTTGGTGGTTCTCTACTGGATGCACAATGGTACTTCCTGGGAGGCTTGAACACTTACCCAATGCCTAGGCCACATCCAGGCTGCCCCTCTAAAAGTGGGACCCAGGCACAGATTTTCCAATCCCCCAGGTGTTCCCAAGATGCAGCCAAGGTTTAAAAAAAAAAAAACACATTCCTAGAAGAACAGGATACCAGAACTTGTTGATTTAGCCAGTTCTGCATGTATTGAGTGTAATTGCGATGAGAGTGGGAAATCCACAGAGATGCAGAGAAAGAGACAGAGGCTGCTGGGCATTTCCAGGCAGCTTCCTCACCTTGGCACTGTGAAGAGGGAAAGAGGATTAGGAGGAGGCAGGTGGAGGCAGAAGAAGAGGACATGAGAATGATGGGGAGCAGGATGTCAAGCAATGATGGGGAGCAATCATCCCTGGGGAGCTCTAAATGGTCCCTCATGATGTCTGGAGCGTCCACAGTTCCTCCAAAGAAGCTTCTCCCTCTAGATGCTCAGGAGACAGTCACAATCATTCTTCCTTGCAGGCCTGAGCATTGTGAGACACTCACAGGCATCCTGGCTTTAATTCTTTCAACGCCAACAGCATTCCCTCCCCTTCAACCATGACAACCCAAATGTCTCCAGGCGTTGCCAAATATCCCTGAGGATGGGGTGTGGGTGAATAAAATCACCCCTGGTTGAGAACACTCACCACATCATTTATGGTCTGTTTCTCTCACATTTCCACTCACACAGTCACTTTTCCAGACATGGCCGAGTGGAGAGGGTTCTGGACCTCAGGGTGACTAGGTGAGGGCCACATAGGATGGCACTGTACACAAAAAGGGTGGGACATGGCGGGTGGAATCAGCAGGAAACTCTGAGGCAAGAGTCACAGAGAAACCAGACCAGGAGGCTGAAGAGGATGATGGTCAAGCCGATAAAAAAAATGACCAGGACCTCCCCTGGTGGCGCAGCAGTTGAGCGCTGGGCTGCGAGGTTCCCGCAGCCTCTGCAGCGCCGGTTCCCGGCCACCGGCGAGGGTCCCACAAAAAAAAAAAAAAAAAAAAAATGACCAAACACAAAACAAAACAAAAAACAGATATTCAGAAAATGACAATGTCAGAGGCAAATAGAGGTTATCACCGATGAGGCAGGTGATGACCACAAGCCAGAAAGGAGCTCTAGGAAGTACTAGGCAGGGAGGACACACCAACACCTGGTAGGGCGACTCTCTGGCCCTGCGGCCTGACATAGGAAGGGGCTTGGGGCCAGAAACTGAGATGTCAGTTCCCAGCCCACCCAATTCTGCCTGACACCTGAAATGCCTTCAACCAGAGCAAAGGCTCAGAGGAGTCAGGCTGGAAGACAAAATCCCCAGATGCTGACTTTGGACTTGATTGTGACTGTCTACTGAGCACCTGGAGGGAGCAGCTTCTTTGGGTGCTGGACTCTTGCTGTCAGCCACCCTATTTCTGTTTTCAGTATAGCAGGTCCTCGAATCCTGTCATTTCATTATGATGTTGATGAGGGGAAAAAAAATTATTCTAGAGGGCCTCCCCAGTGGCGCAGCTGTGAAGCTGTGGGCAGTGCTGTGAAGCTATCCGCAGCCTCTGCAGCACTGGTTCGATTCCCGGCTGGCCAGGGAGCAACCCACATGGAGCGGCAGACCTCTTCTGTCTTGCCCGCTGCCCCCTCAGCAGTGTATTTCGGTCCATCTGCCTGTTCTGCTCCCTGCTCTGTCTCTAGTGAATCCTCTCACCCTCCCATGCCTCTGGCCTGTACCCCAGTTCTTGTATAAAAATAAATAAATCTAAAAAATAAATAAATATGAATAAATCTTTTTAAAAGATTTTAAAAAATAATTCAAGGCTGGACCACTGTCTATGTGGGGTTTGCACGTTCTCCCCAGGTCTGTGTGGGTTTCCTCCAGGGACTTGGGTTTCTTCTCACATCCCAAAGAGCCCTTGCAAGTGTCAGATGTCTCGTTGTCCCAGTCTGAGTGAGTGAGGGAGTGCGTGCACCCTGTGATGGAAGGGCGTCCTGTCCAAGGCTAGGTCCCACCTGACCCCCTGAGCTACCACATAAAGTCCAGCCACCTGTGTGACACTTACCTGGATTAAGCAGGTTGAAGAATAAACATTTGTTTCCTATTAGAAGTGTTAGGGGGTCTTAGAAGTGTGGTGATGTTTCCATGACCTATGCCACAGGAACTTACTCTTGCTTACGTCAATTACCTTGTGGTAAAATTGGATTCACGATATTTTGTTTTGCTTGAGGTAGTATTTCCAAGAGCTGCTGGGCCACGTCAAGTGAGGACTTACTGTACTGTGTGCATAGTGCATAGCTAAGTGGCACTTCACCTCCGGGGGGAAAAGTCCTGGGTAGAAGGGTGAGGAAGCTTGTACCTTACAACCTGGGACTCACAGAACCTGGACCTAGCACCCACACTGGGCTGGGACCAGCACCTAGTTTGGCTTCATAATGAAAGAACATTCAAATGATGACACTTGCCCTTCCAAGAACCAGGGCCCGGCACTCACCCGCATGGGCTCATCCGGGAACCCGGGTTTGCTTGGCCGGTCCTGGCGCCGGGATCTCAGAAGCTGCTTGGCCTGCTTTTCGGGCAGAATTGGAGAGGGCCCTGGAAGGAAAAGTCGGGAAGGGGCATAAGGGAGGTTTGGGCACACAAGTTCATGCCCCATCTCACAACAAAGGATTTACAAATTCAGTTTCACTCAAAACACAAAAGTTCCTTCACAGGAACCTGTCCCAAAGAATGTGGCATTCCAGAGGGCCCAAAGGAAAATTCTAAATTGTTTCTAATATGGTTAACTCGGAGCAAAAGCTGTGCACCTTAAACAAATTCACCTCTTACAATGCCTCATTCCTTTAAAAGTGGGTGTTAATTTAATAAATATGTTTTTGAAAACATATTTTCTTCGATTCTCTGTTCAGTGTGTTTGTCATCCCTTAGTGTTGCTTTGGTGGGATTTTTTTAATACTCAACACACTAAATCAAGTTAAAGTTATTATTGTAAAATACCCAATGACACTAAGATTTCGTTAAACTTGATAATCACACCATGACTCCTCAAAGAAAATAATATGATAATTATATTCAGTTTTAAGATAACCATGCACAAACTCTGAAAGAGAACATAAAAATCAAAATCAAATTCTAAAAGACAGAGTTGAAAATTTATCAGCATTTTTGAGACTCAGTGCTCAAATATTTGAAGATTTTTTTTAAATGCTTTATTCCTGATGATAGCAACTTTGAGAGCTCATTCTTAGGAAAACTAAAAAAGCTTTAATTGTTTTATATTACATATTATTTGAAATGAAAATCAAAACTTTAAAAATAGAAAACAGACCCATCTCAGTTTATCACATCAGCATAGAAACTCACCTAAGGAAGCCAGTAAGGTAAGAAAGAGCAAAAGCACAAATAATTTCTTCATCCTGCCTTGGCTCCTCTCTGCCTGGTGCAGAATGAACTCCCTGCAGTGAGCCAGCCTACTTGAAGGAAGTCAAGGCCGGCCCACGGCTTGTTTATGCTTTCATAAACAGCAGCGCTTACCTTATAATGCTAAATGCATCTGAGTTTTTAGTATAACCACTAAAATATTTTCCTCTGAACCCCTGAAATTTTCATCCAGAGGAAGGAAACTATTCTTCTGTAATTTGGCTTTTAGACCTTGAATCTGAGAAAGCAATCCCTGATGTTCATTTCACTTACAGAGATTTACAGGCATGCTATGGTCATTTGAGTGTTTATCTGTAGCTTTAGATTATGCTCCTACTGTTTCATTGAGAAGTCATCTCTGCTGTGTACATTTTTATGACATGCTTTCCAAAGCACCAATCCAACCTTGCCTGTAATTTCAGAAGTAGACAGGGAAATGAACAAGGGGCATAAAGTGAAGTGTTTTTTTTTTTTTTTTTTTTTTCCAGCTGACTTGGGAGCCATGTCCTGGCTTCCCCTCTTTCTAGCATCTTAACCTTAGTAAATCATTTGCCCTTTGTGAACTTCAGTTTTCTCCCTTGTAAAAAGGAGCTTCCAGCACGTATGATGCGGGTATGGTTAAGTATAAGAGACAACGTATAATATGTGACATTATTCACCATTATCCTCTCCATTTTATAAATAAGGAGGTGGGGTTCAGAGAGTTGAAATCATGGCCAAGTTCACATATTATAGATGCTGAGACAGAGTCAAATCTTTCTGTCTTTAAAGTCTAGTGCCCTTCCGGTTATATCCCAAAAGACCCTCCCACAATACCCTGTTTTTAAGACTATTAGCCGCCTTACTCCAGAATAAAGGACATTTTTATAAAGATAATAAAACCTCAGTAAGCTAGAGTTCTTTTAACTTCAAATCATCTGTAAATATCATATAAAGAAACTATAAATACATCATAAAACTATGTCTGGAAGGCATGTAGCATGTACTGGGATAAAATTCTTAACTTGGAGAAATGACCTGATATTTCTGTGGTCACATTGCCAGCTCAGAAGAAAACAATACCCTCCCTAGCATTGGTCAATTGTATGCTAATGTTGTGTGACTGATATTAAACCTAAATGTTCTACTCACTTTCTTGGTATAGACACTTTGAGGGCCTCCCGGGTGGTACAAAAGGTTAAGACGCCTATGAGGCTGTCCGCAGCCTCTGCAGCACGAGTTTGATCCCCCGCCCTGCCAGGGAGCTTCCCATATGGCGCAGCAGACCTTTCCTGACTCGCCCTACTGCTCCCCTCAGCTGTGTACTTTGGTCCGTCTGCCTATTCTGTTTCCCACTCTATCTCTGGTGAATCCTCTTACCCACCCCCCCCCCACACACACAGACCTCTGGCCTGTACCCCTGCTCTTGTATGCATAAATAAATAAATCTTTAAAAAAAAAAAAGACACTTTGAACAGATGGTAAACAAGGAAGAACAATCATAAAAGTAGCTCAAAATTAGATGTTTGGTTTTATGTACTCTGTGGCTGTGAACATCCTTCTGTTTTTATAGAGTTTTCAATAACTGAGAAATTTTAGGAGCATGATTTTATTTTAGGAATATATATTTGTCACATTAAATATCTACACCTCCTAGTACTCACGATAATATGCACACTTCTTTATTTATTTACTTTTAAAAATCTGCATCCTCTACTAGACTATAAATTTTAAGTAAGCTCGTATTACATTTTTAATTTAAAAAGAAAAAGGGAACTTTGGGTGAACTAAAGAGGTGATACGGGATAAAGTTAGGGCTTGTAGCCCACTGGTTCAAGGTCTCGAGTAGAAAGAGCCCTTCCGGTGTGATAGTGACAGGGTTGTCCAAATGTCCTTCAACTGAATCTCTGGGGATATTGTCCCCAAAAGGGAGGCTAGAGGAAAACTGAAAGGACACAGTCAGTCACTTTGTGTCACTCTCTTGGGAAGAATTTTCTGCCAGGTGCTTCCCCACTCCACCCCACCCCATTCTTTGGGGAAACAGCAGCCACATCAACTAGGGTGAGTCAGCAGGTCAATCTGTAAAAGACCCAGTTCCCAAAATATCCACGAGGTGGCAGAGCAGAAAAGCAAAACAGCAACAACCAAGGTCAGGGCAAAGAAACAAGGTTACCAAGGTTGACCATTCTATAAGTTGCCAGGTGCCAAGGTTCACTATTCCAGACGTTTTCAGGCCTATCAGGGAACCCATAAGAGGTGGGAAGAGCTGGTCCTATAGTGCCTGATCATGTTTTCCTATGATTTGAATTGGTTTAGAGGTTTTCATTAGATGCCGAAGCCTAGGAAAGCTGCGTTAACAATGTGACAACATTGAAGAACATCTATAAATATACAGGCACTACCACCCACACTCACAGCACCATAACATACCTAATATTTTCATTCGTGTGGGTTGCCATCTTCTTTTTGAGAGAATTCTCAAGTTCCACAGATGTTTAAGCATCAGGGATGCAACCACACCAACAGCTGCCAGCAGCATCATAATGCATTACTCCTGTTACAGGATAACACCATGAGTTTGAAATTTATAAGCTAAAAAAACCTTAGGGAATAAGGAAACATCTTTTTTTTAAGGTTTACTTATTTATGCATTCAAGAACTGGGGTACAGGCCAGAGGTGGGTGTGGGGTTGAGGATTCACCAGAGACAGAGCGGGGAACAGAACAGGCAGATTGAAATACACTGCTGAGGAGAGCAGCAGGCAACACAGGAGAGGTCTGCTGTGCCATGTGAGTAGCTCCCTGGCCAGGGATCCAACTGATAGCTTCACAGTACTGAGACTTAACCCCTTGCACCACCAGGGAGGACCCATCTTTTTTTAAATTATAGAAAAATTTCGAATCTATTCCAAGACACTTATACTACATCTATTCTTCAGGTCCAGAGTAAAACAAATCTAACATTCATGTTCGTGGTTGTGTTCATCTTTTTTATTTGTTAGTTTGCCTCTCCCACTGGACAAGAATCTGTATTTTTACAGTGTGCATCTAACTTTCTTTTAATATTAAGTCCATAACTGCATGTGGGCACAAACACACATTAATTTACAGGCACACTATGCAGACAGATGGTAGTTTTGGGCAGGTGAGGTAGGTTGATTTAGTAGCATCAATTACTCACCACTGCATATCTATGCTCTTTGCAGTCTTGGCCCTTGACCTTGGACTTGACCAGTGACCTGCTTTGAGCAATAGAATGGTCAGACACAACACAAATAGAGGTATAAAATATGGTCCTGCAGTTATAGTGCACTCTTGTATTTCTACCATTGCTACAAAAAAAAATTCTTCACATAACTGCTGCCCCTTGAATCTCAGAATGAACTCACATGATGAGTGCCTGAACAAGAAGAAGTCTACACAGAAGTGCAGCTTACAGCAGATCCACTCAGTCCTGCCAAGCCCAGCCCAGCCCACCTCCAGTACCACAGCCTGAAGCACAGCCACCCCTCAACCTGCAGATCCTGGAGAGTAAATGTTATTATTTTAAACCATGGAGTCTAGGAGTGGTTTGTTACATACACAGCACTGCTCTGACAACAGCTAACTTTACAGGGTATTCTAACAGGATTGCTACTGTGTCCAAATCTGGGTTCTGTTGGGTCTAAATTAACAGTAGGTTCCTGCCAGAAGCTTCATTCAAAAGTGAGGGAATAGCTACTATGTGGGTCATCTGGTATAACATCCAGAATGCAGGCTGCAGAGTCATCCGTAGGCCTGGACTTAAATCCTGGCTCTGCAATTTTTTTACTTCACTATTCTTGATGCCATGTGACATTGGGCTAACTTCTTAACTGTCCAGATCACTGTATTCTCATGAAAGAAAGAAAGAAAGAAAGAAAGAAAGAAAGAAAGGAAGGAAGGAAGGAAGGAAGGAAGGAAGGAAGGAAGGAAGGAAGGAAGGAAGGAAGGAAGGAAGGAAGGAAGGAAGGAAGGAAGGAAGGAAGGAAGGAAGGAAGGAAGGAGAATTCTTTTTTTTTTTAAAGATTTATTTATTGATTGATTGATTGATTGATTGATTTATACATACATACAAGCACTGGGTACAGTCAGAAGCGCGGGACGGTGAGAGAATTCACCAGAGCCAGAGCGGGGAGCAGAGCAGGCAGAAGGACCGAAGTACACTGCTGAGGGGAGCAGCGGGCGGCAGGAGAGGTCTGCGCGCCATGTGGGACCCTCCTCCGGTGGCCGGGAGCAGCCGGGACTCGAACTGGTGCTGCAGAGGCTGCGGGCAGCTTCGCAACCCAGCGCTCAACCGCCGCGCCACCAGAGAGGCCCGCTTCATGTATTTTGATGGTCCATTCGTGAGTGCATGAATATTTAAAATTGTTAAAACTTCTTGTTATACTTTGTTTCCAGTAACCTTTTTTGGATTAAAGTCTATTTGGTGGTATTAGTATACAATTACATGAAATATCCTTTTCCATCCTTTTACTTTCACCCTATTTATATTTTTGGACCTAATGTGAATCTCTTGTAGACCGCATATAATTGGATTATGTGTTTTTATCCATTTGGTGTGTCCATTTGATCCAAAAGTCAGTCCTTTGGTTGTAGAATTTAATCCAATTACAATTAAAGTGATTAATGTTAAGGAAGAACTTATTCTGTCATTCTGCTATTTATTATTTATATGATTTATTGCTTTTTTGACTCTCATTTCCTGTATTGCTGTCTTCTTTTGTATTAGTCTTTTTTTAATTTTTTATTTATTTATTTTTGCTGTTTTTTTTTTTAATAGATTAGATTTTTTTTTTTAAGATTTATTTATTTATTTATACAAGTACTGGGTACAGTCAGAAGCGCGGGAGAGTGAGAGAATTCACCAGAGCCAGAGCAGGGAGCAGAGCAGGCAGAAGGACCGAAGTACACTGCTGAGGGGAGCAGCGGGCGGCAGGAGAGGTCTGCGCGCCATGTGGGACGCTCCTCCGGTGGCCGGGGAGCAGCCGGGGATGGAACCGGTGCTGCAGAGGCTGTGGGCAGCTTCTCAACCCAGCGATCAACCCCTGCGCCACCGGGGAGGCCCAAGAAAAAGAATTCTAACAAAACCTAGCTCTTACGATGTTTTTTAGAATGAAAAGTGAAAGTATACATCAAGAGCTGGACAGATCTAGCAAGGCTCTAAGACTTGGAAACAGCTGTTATTGTTATTTGTCCTCATTCTGAAATCACACTTACATATATTTGAACACCCATCCATCTAGAGCAAATGATAGAAAGTCTAAACATTTTTGAGTGACCAAATAATATAGATGAATCAAACACATATTAAGATAACTTTTAAGTAGTGTTGAAATACAAAATACATCTTCATTGGGAAAGAAAATACAGCTCCTTCTAAATATGAATTGGTTTCCCCTCTGTCTCCACACCCCATGCCCTCGGCTGCCCTTTCACATCCTCAGTACTTCTACACAACTATGCACCTTCCTGTTTGGAGAAGCAGCACAATCGTAAGATGGTTTGGCCTTGGTCAGAGGCCTTTCCAGCCTGCTGCATGTTTTCTCCCCAAGTGGGCTATAATTTCTGCTCTGAGTCCAGGACATTGGCCTCAAGTCACATCTGCCCAGCAGGTAAGGACACTCAAGGTCAGTGTCAGGTTCCTAATGGTCAGCTTGAGGCGTCTCTCCAACCTAAATAGGAATGACAGGAGCACTGGCAAAGGTGTAGGAATGTAAGATGGTACAAATAAACTTAGCAGGGGATGGAGCATAGACTGAATAATTTGGGAAAACATTTCTAAAGCTACTGTCATATTACATTTCATTCAGGGAAAGTGCCAAGCTTTTAACAGGGAAAGGAAAACTTTCGTTCTTCTGGGGAAAAATACTGCAATGCATGTTGTTTTTCTCTGTGGGGTCTCAAGCAGGATGATCATACTTCAGAGAGATTAAGGGTGACAGTGTTTACAAACTTTAAGATGCATAAGAATCACCTGAAGATTCACCAGGCATCTGAGAAAGTTGTTGACATGGAAGATAAAGACAAAAGAAGCCAAAGGAAAAAGCAAATTGGGGCAATCAGAAACCATGCAGAGTGAGATGAGGGGAAAAAACTAACAACATCCTCTCTGAGAAGTACGAGAAAAAAATCACTCCCATGAATGTGAACAGGATACTGTAAAATAGGAATATTCAGAAGACAAATCAACAAAGAAGTTCTTAGAAATTAAACATAATAGAAGTTCAAAACTTAATAAAAAAAACATTTGAGAATAAAGCTAAGAAAATCTTACAGAAAAACAGAGCAAAACTGAGATTTTTTTTTAAAAGCAAGAGAAAAATATTTTAAAGACTTTGATCCAAATGAGTTGAAAATTTATGTCCATACAAAACCTGCAGCTTTACACATAACTACCACAACCTAGAAGCAATGAAAATGTCCTTCAATAAATGAATGAATAAAATGTGCTATATCCAGACAATGGACTATTATTCAGTGCAAAAAAAGAAATGAGCCATCAGGCCATGAAAAGACACAGAAGAACTTTAAATGCATATTTCTAAATAAAAGCAGCCAATCTGAAAAGGCTACATACCTAATGATTCCAACTATGTGGCATTCCGGAAAAGGCAAAACTATGGAGACAGCAAAAAGCTCAGTGGTTACCTGGGATTTGGAGGGAGTAATAAATAGGTTGGGAATAGAGGCTTTTTAGGGCAGTGAGACTACTCTGTATGATCCCTATGGTGGATATATGTCTTTATACATTTGTCCAAACCCATAGAATGTACAACAGCAAGTGAATGCTCACAATAAGCTATGGACTTTGGGTAAAGGTGGTATATCAATGTAGGGACATCGATTGTAACAAATGTACCACTTTGGTGCTGCAAGAGGACAGTAGGGGTGATCGTGCACGTGTTGAAGCAGGGAGGATGCCGCACTTGGAACTCTGCACTTGGGAGGCTACATTGGGTACAACCTGAAAATTGAACCGAGAGCCCGGGGTTAGCCAATCAGGGAATCATTTGAAAACTGGGCTAATAAAAATTCTTAAATGTCCTCTCCAACTGTTAGCCTGTCAAGATGTGTTTGGGTGTGCTTGCCTGTTATGTGTGTCCCCATGTATGCTCTCTATGCAAGTGACAATTTGGTGGTATTCTTAGATAATGATTTTTGATTGGCCTAAGATTTAAGCACATAATATAAATTAAGTTTTCCTAAAACTTTCAAATTGTTATAAAAACTAAGATGAAATCTTTTCTGTAGGTAACTTTTGTAAGGTAACTTTTGGTACATGAAAGTTAAAGTCTGTTGGTTTGATAAAATAGGCATGTTTTCAGAATTGACATACAACTTCATTTTACCCAGGTTTATTAATCTAATTAATTCATGTTATCTCTACTATCACAAAATCTGTCTACAATAAAAATTGATTAAGAATTAAATAGATAGGGGCCTCCCCAGTGGCGCAGCAGTTGAGCGCTGGGGTTGCAAAGCTGCCTGCAGCCTCTGCAGCGCCGGTTCGATCCCCGCACACCGGGCGAGGGTGCCACATGGCGCGCAGACCTCTCCTGCCGCCCGCTGCTCCCCTCAGCAGTGTACTTTGGTCCTTCTGCCTGTTCTGCTCCCTGCTCTGGCTCTGGTGAATTCTCTCACCCTCCCGTGCCTCTGACTGAACCCAGTGCTTGTATAAATAAATCAATCTTTAAAAAAAAAAAAAAAAAAGGAATCAATGGAAATGTGTCTAACCCTTTTCTTCAGGTAGGGAAAAAGGCTAAGAGTCATTTAACTAGAGTGAGAAGTAACATCATTCTCTAAACATGGGCTGTCCAATGCAGTAGCCACTAGCTACGTATGACTATTTAAGTTTAGCAAAATTAAGTAAAAAAAAAAAAGAATTAAATAGATATAGGGGCATCCCTGGAAGCGCAGTGTATTTCAGTCAATCTGCCTGTTCTGTTCCCCATTCTGTCTCTGTGAATCCTCTCACCCCCTGCACCTCTGGCCTGTACCCCAGTTCTTGTATGCATAAATAAATAAATCTTTTTAAAAATCTTTAAAATGAAACAAAGCATGTGAAATTATTTTGATGACATACAACATCCTTGGCTGTTGAAATATACTGAAATACGCTGCTGAGGGGAGCAGCAGGCAAGAGAGGAGGTCTGCTATGCCATGTGGGTCACCTCCATGAGCCATCAGGGAGGCCCCCGTTTCATTTTAAAAGTTAAGTTTGTTTGCAACCATGTAAGTTTCTATATTTGTTTTTGAAATCCTCATTTTCATTTTGATTAAGTGAATCATTAGCATTGTTTCATACCAATCTTGGACCCTTTTGGTCAAGTATCCAAAACTTCTCCTTGGAAGGAACTGTACTAAGTCCTCCTCACTCCCCAGGTGGCCCTCAAGCTTCAGAGACTCGGAAGTCTGGGTACATATCTCTCAGCTAAAGAAGGCTCCACCTGGCCGGTCCTAAACAAATACTGAAGAGCTGCAAACCAAATTGATGAGGTAAAGAAGTAGCTGACATCAACATACACAGCTTCCACCCAAGAGTCTGGTTGAAGACGTCATACTTTAACTCCCTCCCCCTCCCTCTTTCTTCTCCTACTTAGGCATCAACCAGGAAAGATAATCCCCCTCTGTATATGTCAGGCCATTGCTGGGGAGGGGAATAACTTGAAACTATTGGATTTTCCCCTGTGCTGATAGTATACTTTTTTTTATTAATTAATTTATTTATATATATTTTACATCATTCTTCTTTTTTTTTTTTTTACAGGGTTTGCTTTCTTTTCTCAGGTGTAGTCCCCATAGAATTTCCACCACCAGTTCACCCGTTTGCCATCACCATAGTCCCTTGTGCTCTTCCAGTGAATAGTATAGTTTTTCCCATCACAGCTCCTTCCTAATTTCCAGCGAACAAACTCAACCTCTATTTTATCAGACTCTCCAACCCCAAGTGTCCATTTCCTGGACTCTGGTTAACAACCAAACCCAGGGAAATTTGCATCCCAGTACTATACAAAGGAAGGGCACTGGCAAGAGTAAACACCCCTGAAGGTCACCAATTCTTAGATTTTACAAGCCTGTGGCTATCAGCACTCCCTAACTCTTGAAGATATTGCAGGATCTGCTGCTAAAGATGCCCAATAAAAAATCCTTAGACTACTGTCTGGTCAAAGTTGTTATAGACCTTGATTGTCTTTTAGCTAAGCAAAGAGGTCTCATGTGTTAGAAACTCGACCATGTGCTGTACCTGGATGAACACTTCATCAAATCTAAACTAATTTAAGGGCTCTTCCTCAACTAGAATTCATAAAAGAGAATGACATGTCTATACAGGTACACAATCAGAATAGAAGCAAGACTTCAAAATCTCACCCAATCCTCACGTGACAGATGAGGCCCAGAGCGGTGATTTGACAAGATGTGTGAGGACAGGGATCTGATCCCAGCATTCACTATGTCATCTAATGCTCTTCCCCATTTCACCACAAGAGCCCCTTGTAGCCTGCACAAACTGGATTATAAAATACTTCAGCATCCCTACTCAAAGTGCGGCCCTGGAACCAGCAATATCAGCTCACTGGCCTGCTTTCTGAACGCAGACTCTCAGGCTTCTTCCCCAGAAATGGAATAAGAATTTATATTTTTTTTTAAGATTAATTTATTTATACAAGAACTGGGGTACAGGCCAGAGGTGTGGAGGGGTCAGAGGATTCACCAGAGACAGAGTGGTTTGCAGAACAGGCAGACTGACTGAAATACACTGCTGAGGGGAGCAGCGGGCGAGACAGGTGAGGTCTGCTGTGCCATGTGTGTTGCTCCCTGCCCGGGGATGTGTCTCGTGCTGTAGTGGCTGTGGACAGCTTCCTAGTGTTGTGACTTAAACCCCAGCGCCACCAGGGAGGCCCCAGAATTTACATTTTAACAGGCTCCCTGGAGCAAGATTCTAAGAGAGGTAACAATAGAAAAGAAACTCTTTGAGGGTTTAATTTAGATTGATCCCAATTTGGAAAAACAAGTTAAAACAAAGTGATCTCTGCCCCCACATTAGCTTTATGACCTCAGGCTTGCTTCTCAGTCTGTCTATAAGATGAAAAAAATTAGAGCAGTGGAGCAGACAGACCCAAACGCCTTAACACAAGACTAATAAATGCTCCCTAGCACACGTCTCAACAAGCCTGCCGCGGTGTGGAAGGCAGGGTTCCCTGCACAGCTGTGGCACATAGTCAGCCTCAGCCAAAACGTGCTTCATAAACAACTAGCAAGAGCGCAGGCGATACCTACCAGTTTTTTACTGGGACTGTCCCATCCCTCTGGTATCTGACACCCTCAAAACTGCCAGTTTTCTCCCTACTGAAAGGATTGGTGCTGTGAGGACAAGGAAAGCCAGGCTAAGTGTCCACAGGTAGGAACTTTATCGCGCTCCCAGGCGAGGTTCCCCTACTGGGGTCGGGGAGGGAGGGGTTGGAGAAGTCGTGCCCTTTGGGGGATGGGGGCAAGCTTTTATAGGGCGGGGTCTGGCCTTGGAGGGTGGTGGAGAATACGGAGTGGAAGTTGCTTTTCAAAGAAGTTTTTCTCTCAGAACTGGTTGTTCTTTCAACGATGCTGATCAGGGCCCGGGCAGAGCCGGTGCGGAGATGCAGGTGGCGGCAGTTTCAAGTCCCCCCACACACACACACCCCAACTCTGCCCCAGCCTCCGCCTCACACCTACCCGCATCAAAACCGTGCGAGCTCCCACCCCCCCACCAGACACTGAGGCGCGGGAGGGGCTGAGGTGAGAGCTCCATCTACCTCACACTGCAAGTCATTCACGCCCTGCGAGGCCCGGTGACGAGGTTACAGAGCGCCGGGCCCGCCACGCTCTCAACGCCCCCCACCTTCGAGCTGCCCCGCCCGCCCTTCCAGGCCCCGCCCACGGCCCCGCCCCCCTCCACCCTCCCCCGCGCCCCCCTCCACCCTCCCCCGCGCCCCCCGTCCGCGGGCCTGGGCGTCCGCGCTCACACCCCCGCCCGCCGGGCTCGCGCGCCGCCGCCCCTCCCGCGCTCCGGCCGTTCCGGCTCCGCGTCCGCGCGGCGCCGACTGGCTCAGCCTCCCGCGGGCGTGGGCGCCGCCGGCCGACGCCGAGGCCGGGGTCCTGCGCGCGCGCGGCGGCGGCGGGAGGACAGCCCGCGGCCTGGCCCTGGGGGCCGCGCCCCTGCCCCCCTCGAGGTGAGGCCAGATGGGCGGGCGGGGCGCACCCCGGGTCGCCGCGGCGGCGCGCGGGGGCGGGATCGCGGGGCGGGGGCCGGGCGCGGCGGGACGCCCCCGCGCGGGGCCTGCTCTAACGGCTGCGGCGCTGGAGGTGCGCGCGGCCCACGTGCGCCATCGCGGGCCACCCTGTGGGGCGTCTCTGCGGGGCGGCCTGTACCCTCTAACCGCGCCTCTCCCGGCCCCGCGAGGGGGCCCCGCGGCGGCCGAGGAGGCGGGGGACGCGGCGGGACGGCCTCGGGCCCGGGCCGGCTGTGCGCCCGCTCTCCCTCGGAGGGGCAGGGCCACCTGGGCAGCCGGTGTCCTCTGCGCCCTCGTGCCCCCCTAAAGGCCGGAAGGGCCGGAGGTGAACCCCGCCCGTGTCTCTCCCGCTTAGGAATCGTCGCTGGAGGAGATGGAGGCGGAGAAGCGGCCGGCGCCCTACGAGGGCCTGTTTGCGGACGGGCATTTGGTGCTGTGGACGCTGTGCTCGGTGCTGCTGCCCGTGTTCATCACCTTCTGGTGCAGCCTGCAGCGCTCTCGCCGGCAGCTGCACCGCAGGGACATCTTCCGCAAGAGCAAGCACGGCTGGCGGGACACCGACCTGTTCAGCCAGCCCACCTACTGCTGCGTGTGCGCGCAGCACATTCTGCAGGGCGCCTTCTGCGACTGCTGCGGCCTGCGCGTGGATGAGGGCTGCCTCAAGAAGGCGGACAAGCGCTTCCAGTGCAAAGAGATCATGCTCAAGAATGACGGCAGGGCCGCGGACGCCATGCCCCACCACTGGATCCGGGGCAACGTCCCCCTGTGCAGCTACTGTGTGGTTTGCAAGCAGCAGTGCGGCACTCTACCCAAGCTCTGCGATTCCAGGTACGGCCTTTTGTGGGTGCTGACTGTCCCTGAATGCCCTGTGGGAGTCGGGATTTCAGAGAGTGGTTGTGTAGCGGAAATGTATTATTGAGCAAATGAATAAAGATTCCAGAAGAACTTCCAGCCCAGGTGGAATGAACACCCCAATGCAGGCATGATTAACAAGTTTGCTTACTTACAGCTCTTTCCCTTTCAAGATTCCTGGCCAGGGCCTCAGCACTCTTACCGACAAGGTGGGAAAGCCGGCCAAGCTGGTCTCTCTCTCCAAGGCCATCCCCGAATGCCTGCTTCTTGCCCACCTTGCCTTGCCCCCCTTGGCTGGGGACTGTGCTGCAAATGGTTGTGTCTGCTGAAAGATGATGCTATCAGTGTAACAGATATGGACACAGTTGTGTATAAATGGAACCCCTGGTCTTTAAACGGGTGCTCAGACCTTACAGGGCTACCCAGGTCTGGGACCTCATGCATGAGTAATAAAGCTTCTGCTGATCTCACCATTCCTGAAGTACCTCTTGTTCTTCCTCTGCCTGGGTAAAAGGCGGTGGCCTGCTTTGATCTAAGCAAATGACCTAAATTACCCACTTCAAGGAAAACAAGCTAATAAACATCCTTCCGTATTGTCCAGGTGTGGCAGCTTTGCAATAATCATTTGCAAGGGTGATGGATCTAGCCTGCATTCATCCACCTGCCCTTTAGGTGATAAAACTTGGCTCTTAACTCTCCTCCAGAAGTCTCTAAGTGCTGCATGCTTTATGATTCCTGTATGTTATATTTTCATTTTTGTTATTACTGATTTTCTCCCTTTTAGATAAGGAAAAATTAAGTGTGGACAAAGTAACTTTTTCATAGACTCACAAAATTGGTTCATCCTTAGTGTTGTTCCATTAGTTTTGAATGAAAACAAGTGTCATTACAAGGCGACATTTATAGTTATTGGTGCTATAGTGAAATATACTCAAAAAGAGTACTTAAAGGGATATTAACACCTTTTTTCATATGGTCTTTTGGGACCTGTAGCATCTTAAACAGTTGACTTTGATTAAGCCAAGAATATTTTAATGCTTTTAAAAACACTTTTGCGTTCTTAAATATTAGTTGTAAATATATGAAGATGTCCTTTGCTCTTGAAGAGATTGGTTAAAGGAGATGCTGCTTTGCACATCACCTATTCTTGTTTTACAGTCGAGAGAATTCTACTCAGTGGTAAAATAAAATTGGTGGCCAAGACAGGGTTAGGAATACTAACACTTAACCTTGTCATAGACTTACGTCGGGACATCTTAAATCTTATTTTAAATAATGTTCCCTATTATCAGATTTAGATTAAAAGTAAATTTTCAAAAATATGTATTTTAAACAACTACAAAGTTCTGTACCCATTAGTTTTTGCTATCTTTCACATTTAGATGTTTTCCTTTTGGCATCAGTGAGAGAGCCAGGTATCTTTAAGTAAATTTCTTATTTCTCTTGTAATTAAGCTTTAATCTTTGAGAACTGGGATTAGTTGGAAAAAAGACATGAATTGAGTATTATTATATTTCCTTCCTTCCTTCCTTGTGTCTTTGTAACTTAGATAAAAATGGCTTCTATAAATATCCTGTTTCAAATACTCCCGAACAGATAATAACAGTGTTTCTGATCATCCACCCAATGATCTTTCTAGAAATATATATCTAACTAAGTCCCTGCTCAGCGTAAAACCGTTCAGTCGTTCCTGAGACTTACACTGATGGCCTTTCAGTGTAAATGCCAGGTCTTAACACAGTACACAAGGATTTACATGCTCTCTGGACCCAGCGTGCCTTAGAGTCTTATCTACTACTGCCTGCATTAAATTTTATGTACCAGCAACACCCAGATAGTTGTGGTTTCCTTAAAATAACAGACTTTTTCTTACTGCCCTTCTGTTTTTCAAGTTTCCTTCTCTGTCTTAAGCATCCTCCTCCTGGCTAACTTCTAGGCCTCTTTAAGACTCGTTGTGTCCTTTCCTCCCAAACTCCAGCCCCCAGATGGTGACATAAATCCTGTAGCTCAGTGGTTCTCAAAGTAAGGTCCCCAGACCATCAGCATCATTTGGAAACTTGTCAGAAATGCAAATTCTGGAGTTGCTAAAGAAAACAAAGTAAGATATTTGTGCTTATACCAAAAAATTATTGTTTATTTGAAATTCAAATTTAACTGAGCATCCTGTTTTTTTCTGGCAACCCTAGCCTCACCCCAAACCCACTGAATCAGAAATGGTCTGGGGACCTGCAATCTTTGCTTTAACAGGCCCTGAACATAATTCTAAAGTTAGAGAACTGCAACTGACCCATGTACCTGTTAAAACACAATCTTGTATCCTTAATTTTTTGTCCTCCACATTGAGCATAATGAATAGTTGTCATGCTACATCAGCTGTTCCTGATTAGCTTGTTCTTGCTGGTTACTGAGCGGTCTGTCCCCAGCATGCTGCATGCCTCACCTATGGTAGAAATTGCCTCTGTAATTTAGGAAGTATTTGTTACTGTCAAGAGAAAAGAGTACCATGTCCTCAAGAGGTATGCATTCTGCAGTATTCCAGTAATTTTATGCAGTATTACTGTCAGGCTTGACCTTCTGTAGGAATGATGTTTTGGGAAAGAAACAAATATCTATTTAGAATCTTCAAACACAGACTAGACTGGGTTTTACCCAACTCTGGGCTTCTTCCCTGTCTGCATCACATTCTCCAGAACTGGAGAATTTTAAGTGAACATTTAAGACTGTTTGGTCAACAAATTAACATTTCGAAGAATGATATTAACTGATTTTTAAAACCTATAGACCATTTAAACCCAGCAGAGTAAGTAACAATGGCCCTTTAATTTATAATCAGTCAATAGATCATGTTCACATATTGAGCATCTATTTAGTGCCAGACACTGTAGATTTTACTTTCCTTGTAGTTTTTTCTTTTTTTCTGCCCCAAATACTACAGTGTGTTTCTGCATCTAGTATTATGTCATTTGTTCCCTAAATTTCCTTTTTTTTCTTCTTACCTCTGTTCTTACTAAAATAGGAAATTAGGTTATATATTTTTAAGTATTACACTTGTTAAATGAACCTTTGTTCCTTATAATGTTCTGTCTCTTAGTAAGAAAACCTAAGGTTTCTGAAGGACTTTCTTCATTATATACTTCTCCGCCTTCCTGCCCCTTCACACAACACACACATACACACACACACACACACGTGTTAATGAAACAGCTGATTTTTAGTAGGTAATCACACTGACCACTTTAGTTTTGTCTTTAATTTGCTTCTGTGTTCTGTTGATATATGTTTATTCATTTCATTAATTATCTAAAACAATGAAAGATAACAAATATTTTAGAGCAGAAATGGGCAGACTTTTTCTGTAAAGACCCAAAACTAAATATTTTAGGCTTTGCAAATCATATGGTTTGTCATAATTATTTATCTTTGCCATAGTACAATATCAGCCATAGATAATGCAGAAATGAATAGGTATAGATGTTTTCCACTAAAAGGTTGTTCACAAAATCAGATACAGACACACTTATAATTTGTCAACTTCTGTTCTACTGTAAATTTCATAAATAACCATCTTCACTTCACATTTACTATTGCTGCCTTCTCCAAAATACTAAAGAAAAAAGCTCTTGTGAACAGATAAGTATTTTTGAGAAAATAATAAAGTCACCAGCAGTTCATTCTCCCCAACCCCAAAACTTTTTTTTACATGTAAAGCAGTCATATTCCTGTACAAGAGTAGCACACACCAAAAAAAATAATGGCGCATAAACTTATGAAACATTCCATATTTTCATATGAGGGGATTTTGTAGGGTAATACTCTGTCTTGATAAGAGTTGTAGTTATAGGAATATGATTGTCAATAATCAGCAAACATACATTGTACATTTCATTATATGTAAAATTTAGATCAAAAGAAAAAACCTGCAAATAAATTATGAATTTAGATAATGACATGCCAGTTTGTTGAAATATTTTGGAAGTATTCTGATGTCTGCAACTTTCTTCGAATGCACCAAAAATATGGTGGATAGAAATGTAACAAAGCAATTACAGTAAGATCTAAAAAATGCAGGACGGTAGCAGAAGTGGACAAACTTTGTTCACTGTAAAAAGAAATTAAAAAGCAAAACATTTTAAAATGCAAGAATACAATCTTTTTTTGAAAATACTTGCTAAAGCTTTGAAGCATGAAGTCTTATAATGTCTGCAGTTTATTTTCAAATGATTCAGCAAATGTAGGAGAAAATGTTAATTAAGAATCAGGGTGAAGGGTTGGTTTAGGGGCATTTATTTTGCTATTCTTTTGACTTCTGCATAGTTTAGAATTTCTCAAAATAAAAATTTGGAGGGAAATAATGATTATAAACAATTAGTGACTTGATTGCTAAGACTAAAATATCAAGATATTACTAGTAATGTCTTGTTTTCCCAACAGGTTTGAAATCTAGATCAAGTTAAATATTAATTAGAAAATATGTATAGAGACCAGTATGAATTTTGAATCAGGCATTTCTAAGGGAAAGTATGATGCTGAATAACTAGTAAACATTTTGGCTTCACCTTTACAGAGCAAAGGCTAATAATACCCATTGTGCTGGTTAAAGTAATCTTTTCTAAAATTTATGACAATTTTGTAATTGAAAAAGATGTCACAAATCATTGTACATAGAAAAGATTATTTTATAAATTATGTTAGGACAAATCCTCTTTGGAAGAAAAGGACTAAATGTGTCACACCAAAGCAAACTCCAGCAGATAGACAGCCATAAACAGGATTCTTGAGTAAATAGCAGTAATTGCTTGACATATCTGAGCATCTAGCTGGGAAAAAAGAGCCTTAAAATAGAAGACTAGGAGAGCTGACCTTGAGATAAAAGAATTTTTATCCATTTTTTAAAATTCATTTAATTATGACCGTTTATTTTCTGTCAGCCTGCTTTTGTCTGTACAGTTAGATCTGCCTATCTGTGAGTGGTTAAATGCAGATTAATAATAGAAACCCCAGAACTTTACTGGTGCTATTTTTCGCTGGTTTTACACATGGGACCAAACATAGAAGCAAATCCGACTGTTGGTGGTGTTCTGTCTGTATTTCAAATGCAACATGCGGATTATTTTTGTCTTAACTGCCAACAGGAAATTGACTGTTGTACCTATATTTACTGAAGTGTTGTTGAAAGATGGTCATAAGTTAAGAGATTTTCTCACTGGACCCTGAGGAATACTTCCAAGGATCCAGGCCATAGGCTTCAGGCAGGGCATTTAAGCAACAAGGACTTTAGGCCTGATGAACCTATTTCAACCAAAGTACAAATAAGTAATACACAGAATCATTGTTGTAGACCAACTTTGTTATGTGAATTTTATCTGGTGATGTATTTACCTATATTAGAAGTTAAAACTGAGAAAACTTAAATACTTTTAAAAATAACAATTATGGTAACATAAGTATTTTTATGAAAGCTCAGTGACATTTTACTTTTTTTTTTTGTTGTAGTGCATTAGTTTAGAAGTTAGATTCTCCTATCTACTTCTGCATTCAGTCTTTGATAGAGCACATGTGATAGAGCTTCTGGAAAACTCCACTACACTTTTGAGGGAATAAAAGTAAAATAACATTGTAGTATTATTATTAAAGTGAATTTAAACTCACAGACAACTTGAAAGGATCTTGGTAGCTCTAGACCGCACTCTAAGAACCATTGTTGAATTAAACTGCTAATGCGTTCATTAAACAGATAAATTACATATTTTTACTTTCTGGATTTTATGTTCAATGATGATAAAATTACTGCTTTAATTTTTTTTTTGACAAAATTGATTCGCTTGCAGAACATTAAGATTATGGTTTAAAATTACTGTCTTTCTTTCTTCTGTACCCCCAGGTGCATTTGGTGTCAGAAAACTGTTCATGATGAGTGCATGAAAAATACCTTAAAGAATGAAAAGTGTGATTTTGGAGAATTCAAAAACCTCATCATTCCCCCAAGTTACTTAACCTCTATTAATCAGATGCGTAAAGACAAGAAAACAGATTATGCCATGGTAATTAGTTTATTTTTCCTTAAATAGTTGATTTCAAAAAGTTGTTTAAATCAGTGTATAAGACAATTACAATTGTGTGTGTGAGGGCCTCCCTGGTGGCCTAGGGGTTAAGTCTCAACGCTGTCACCAATTAAGCCTGATTTCTATGCCCAGCCAGGGAACTAACCCAAAAATGGCACAGCAGACCTCTTCTGTCTCACCCATCACTCCCCTCAGCAGTGTATTCCAGTAAATCTGCTTGTTCTGCTCCCCACTCTGTCTCTGGTGAATCCTCTCACCCCCTGTAGCTCTGGCCTACACCCCAGTTCTTGTATGCATAAATAAATCTTTTAAAAAATAATTACCTCTAGTTGCTTCAGGAACCAAAATCAGAACAATGAATGGGAGTTATCGAAAGATGGATTTTTAAACTCAGATTCAGTCAGAGTTTTCTAATTATTTGATTTAGCAGTGAAATGGGCTGCCTGATGTTAGTGAGTTCCTTCTTATGTGACTATCCAAGCATACACTGTAGCGTAACCTAGAATGATTAGGTCACAGAGTTACACATTGTACTCAAGTTAAATTAGTCCCTCTCCAAGATCTGTTTCCGTTTGTAGAGTTCTTTGATTTTTATATGTATTGATTTGTACCAGGATAGATGTTTTTCTCTTAGCATATTACTATTATCAAGAATGAAAAATTTACTGCTCACCATCTTTGAGATATTAAACCATCATGTTACTTTTTTTTAGCTAGCCTCTAAGCTTGGAAAGGAGTGGACTCCATTAATAATCCTGGCCAACTCCCGAAGTGGAACTAACATGGGAGAAGGGCTACTGGGCGAATTTAAGATCCTCCTAAATCCAGTCCAGGTAACTAAACAGAAAACATATTTTCTATATTAATCCTTATTTTGTGCAACAATCAGAATACCATGGAATTTCCCTTTCAACATTACACAGCTTAATTGAAATAATTAAAAAAGAAAGAGAAATCACTTGCCATTTCCACACAGATATATTATTTTTATTTTCCCTGTTCTTCCCATGAATGATCTATGCAGTTATGTTATTAGCATTACCCAAACAGTAATCTAGGTACAAATTTGATTGTTTTCTTTACTTAAAAGCATACATTTGGGGGGGGGGGTCTGCCTGGTGGCACAAGGGGTTAAGTCTCAGCACTATGATGCTCTCCACAGCCGCTGTGGCACTAGTTCTCCTCCCAGCCAGGGAGGAGACCCACATGGCACAGCAGACCTCTCCTGTCTTGCCCACTGCTCCCCTCAGCAGTGTATTTCAGTCAATCCCCACTCTATGGTAAATCCTCTCACCTCCTGTACCTCTATCCTATACCCCAGTTCTTGTATACATAAATAATCTTTTTTTAACAAAAAAGCATAGGGCCTCCCTGGTGGTGCAGGGGGTCAAGACACAACCTATGAAACTGTCCGCAGCCTCTGCAACCCACAGGTGCAGCAGACCTCTCCTGACTCACCCACTGCTCCCCTCAGCAGTATACTTCAGTCGATCTGCCTGTTCTGTTCCCCATTCTGTCTCTGGTGAATCCTCTCACCTCCCACACCTTTGGCCTGTACCGCAGCTCTTATATGCATAAATTAAAAAATCTCAAAAAAAAAAGCATATGCTTTTTCCATGTGTCTCCATAATCCTCATAATTATATGTGTAATATCTGAGATAATTAACTGAATGAATATGTCACAGTTTTTCTACTCTCTTGCTATTACTGATTGAATCATTAGTCTCTAAGGTTGTATGATTATAGATAATGCCTCAGTGAATACCTTTATATTCAGTGCGTTTTCATCTTTTGAAATATTTTCTGAGAATATTTGTAGCAATATTTTTAAAAAAAGAATTTTTATAGAATTATAGCTATCAAAGGGCCTCCCCTGGTGGCACAGTGGTTGAGTGCTGGGCTGCGAAGCTGCCTGCAGCCTCTCCAGCACTGGTTCAATCCCTGGCTGCCAGGTGAGGGTCCCACATGGCACGTAGACCTCTCCTGCCACCTGCTGCTCCCCTCAGCAGTGTCCTCTGTCTGTCTGCCTGTTCTGCTCCCCGCTCTGGCTCTGGTGAATTCTCTTACCCTCCCATGCTTCTGACTGTACCCAGTGCTTGTATTAATAAATAAATAAATCTTTAAAAAAAAAAAAGAATTATAGCTATCAAAAATCCTTGTGTTTTTATGTCATTTTATGAATATTGCAAAATTGTTTTCCAGTAAGATACACTAATTCGTACTAATAGTCGTTCTTAAAAACCCAGTATAAAATATAAAGAGTTCATTAAAGGTGAACTTAGCACGTTCTGGTTTCATGTAAAATGAAAGGAGACAGTGTTATATAAATGGTTATCAATTTGTATGTTGACACCTCATTATTTAGGGGATTTTAGGCAGGTGATTTAACCTGCATGTGCCTCAGTTTCCTGATTAATAGAATGACACTTATACTTCGTAGGAGCAAGGTGAGCCACAGTGAGTATAAAGTGCATCGTGGCTGGCATATTGTTAAAAATAAATGCTTTGTGGCAGTGCTATTATTTAAACATAACTGTACTCATCTAAAAGAAAGCCATCCTTGTAGTGGAGGACAGTGTTCAGGAAATAATTTTATTTCCTTTTCTTTCATTTCTAGGTTTTTGATGTAACTAAAACTCCCCCTGCCAAAGCCCTGCAACTTTGCACTCTTCTTCCCTATTACTCAGCTCGAGTACTTGTTTGTGGAGGGGATGGGACTGTGGGCTGGGTCCTGGATGCGGTTGATGAAATGAAAATTAAGGTATCAGTCTTGAAGACCTGCTTGCCTTTCACAGACGCACTTCTAAGATTACCTAGTTATATTGTGTATATATAATTATACAATAGTTGGGTTATATTTTTTATTATGCAACAGAAGATTAGAAGATATTATTAGTTTCCAATAGCTAAGAATGGGACAGCTATTTTGATTAGTCTGTTCATATAACCTTTAGCAAAACATATTTCTCATAGATACCATCTTACACCAGTGAGAATGGCACATATTAAAAAAACTAGCAACAACAAATGTTGGCGAGGTTGCGGAGAAAAAGGAACTCTCCTGCACTGTTGTTGGGAGTGCAAACTGGTCCAACCACTATGGAGAGCTGTGTGGAGATTTCTGGACCTACTAAACATAGAGCTTCCATATGATCCAGCAATTCCACTCCTAGGTATTTACCCAAAGGACACAGAAACATCAATTCCAAAGAGCACCTGCACCCCTATGTTTATAGCAGCACTATTTACAATAGCTAAGCTTTGGAAACAACCCAAATGCCCAAAAATAGATGACTGGATCAAGAAGATGTGGTACATATACACCATGGAATATTACTCAGCATTCAAAAAAGATAAACACATGCAATTTGCAGCAACATGGATAGAGCTGGAAGGGATCATGCTCAGCGAAATAAGCCAGAAAGAAAAAGAAAAATACCGGATGGTCTCACTCATAGCAGGAATCTAGAAAACTTAAATAAGGGACCAGGAAAAAGAATAACTATAAGAAAGAAAATATCAAAATCAATAAACAACTATGAACCAAAGACACTCTATGAGGGGTGGGGGGCGGGGAAAGGAGGGCTTGGGGTCAAAATAAGGGGGTTGTAGTTGTAAGGGGAATATAAAAATAAAATTTAAATAATAAATAAATAATAATAATGATATATATATATAAACACATTTCTCATATTTGTATTTTTTAATGCTTTGTTTTTAAGTTTTGCCGAGTATTATCACCCTACAAATAGCCTATAGAGAAGAATCTAAAATATCTATCTTCTATACTATAGGGACAAGAAAAGTACATTCCACAGGTTGCTGTGTTGCCTCTGGGAACAGGCAATGATCTATCCAATACCCTAGGTTGGGGTACAGGTTATGCTGGAGAAATCCCAGTCGCGCAAGTCCTAAGAAATGTGATGGAAGCAGATGCAATTAAACTAGATAGGTAAGATAAAATTCCCCCCAAAGGTAGATTTTCTTAAGTATTGGGAATATCATTTGAGTTATAAATGAAGCCTTAAGTTGTTATAAATTTTAAAAATTAAACTTTAAATTTTATAAATTAAAATTTAAAAGTTACAAGTTTGCATTAAAAATGTAAATGTAAAAGACTGTCAGTTTTATGTATACATAGATGCTGGTATTTTGTTGTATATTTTTTTCATATTAGGATTGGAGTCTTAAGTTAGGCTTAGTACTTAAGATTTGTATACTCACTTCAATGCACTTATTTTTTCAAATACTGTTTTAATAAAGGAACCTCATCTACCAGGTATCCAGAGTTGACTAGTAATAAATATATTTAATTGGCAGTTCATTTGATAATACTGATTTTTTTGAACTTCATTTTTTAGATGGAAAGTTCAAGTAACAAATAAAGGATACTATAACTTAAGAAAACCCAAGGTATGTTTTTAGGGCCTCAGTTGTGAATAGTTCCAACAAGCATGATGGAACACCTCCACTGTATAAAATGCTGTGCTGTAGTGGGAGGTAGAGACAAGGTATTTATCTCTAGGGAGCTGCTTATGGAGCAGAAGAGAAACCTGTGTGGTCCACTTTCACGCTGAACTGTAGAGTGTGCCGTGGGAGAGAACAGGCTATAAGTGTGCTTAATTCATCCCTAGAAATCCAGGCTGGAAAGATTTCTAAAGGGAAGTAACATGTCAATTGGTCCTTCAAAGGTAAATATAATTTAGACCAAAAAAGAATGAAACAAAGGACTTTCTAGGTGGATGAAATAAGAGACTAGAGGGTGCAAATCATAGCTAGCAAATAATACAGAGATAACAGGTTTGTATTTTTTAAAACCTACTCTGGAGATAGTGAGAAATAGCTTAGAAACCTGAACTAGGGCAAAACAAGGGTTTGGGGAGGAGGACATTTTAGAAGTAGAATTGATCAAGACTTGACAACTGATTGGTATTAAGGGAAGAAAATACATACTGCCATCAGATTTCTAGTTTTTATGACCATCAGGTTTCTGGTTTTTATGACTAGATATATGGAAATGACATTAGCCAAGATAAAAAGTTTGATGTTGGATAGGGAACCAAAAAAGAGTTAGGTTTTGGTCATATCAGCCTTGAGGCTGTGGCACATTAAATAGAGAATGGGGAATTTAGGCTTATCGCTCAGGAACAAGACGGCTGGAAATGGAGCCTGAGGAATGCAGACTTGCACTGGAAAGTAGTATGATTAAGGGAAGAGGGAAAAAGGGGGTGGCAGTAGTCTGGGAAACTGAGAGTTGAAAAAGCAAGTAAAAAATGGAATGGAGTACAGGGGTGGGAAGCCTTGATGCAAATTAGAGCCATTCTAGATACAATCTGAGGTGTAGCGTATTAAACAGAAATAGAAAATGAAATCCCTAACTATAGTTATTAGCCTTTGAGCTGAAACTTCTGGAAACTTCACTGAATAACATACAATGGCTCTAATCTGTAAAGTAAATGTAAGATATTAAATTTTCATAATAAACAAAGATTAAATATTGCTTACTATGTGACATGTTCTGGAAAAAGAAAATCTGTTGCCTTTTTTTAATAGGAATTCACAATGAACAACTATTTCTCTGTTGGACCTGATGCTCTTATGGCTCTCAATTTTCACGCTCATCGTGAGAAGGCACCATCTCTGTTTTCTAGCAGAATTCTTAATAAGGTGTGTTGGATAAAATAACATTTCCTGCTTATCACCAAAGGTACAGTAAAAATCAATACAATTATATCTAGCACTCTTTCAAGTAAATTCAAATAGAGCTGCCTTATGGAAACATTTCCCTGCCATTTTGTGTAAGACTGTCAGTTTAGATCCTAAGTGTGCTTTATTAAAATATTTTAAATTTTAAAATTCAAAGTGGGAATGTTTTATGGGATGTTTTGCTTAAATGACAACTAAATGAAATAGGGAATAGCCTATCTTACTTAAACAGCTACTAGAATTGGAAAGAAATTCAATGCAGGATAAATTTTTGGTGAAGTAGTAATGGAAAAATAGATTCCCTTGACTTGAAAAACCTCCAAAAGGCAGATGGGATAAGAAAAGGAGTCACCTGTTTACCCACAGCTCTTAACTAAGATCATTGCTCTGGTTTCTGGTACAATGGATTCCTTTCGTGGAAATTTTATTTTGGAAATTTTGAGTGACTTGGTGATTGAGCAACAGAAGGTAAAAAATAAATGTAAAACAACTTTACCCCTGTTTCTTTTTTATAAATATTTCATGTTTATAAATAGTTCCCTTTTGTTACTTTATAGCTAAGGCAGTAGGTATTACAGCATGTACAGTTGGTTATATCTCTCAAAATTAAGTTTGTTTTCATCAGGTTTTCTGTAATCAAAAGTGATTATGAAATGTTTGCTAGATTTACCTATTACTTTCATTAACTAATGTGAAATATAGGAAAGGATAGACTGTTTCATTTCATTCTAATATATCTTAATAAAATGTAGCTTTTGGATAAGCTGAGAGAAAATACCATTTAGCCACAAACTCTCCCACATTTCCCCCGGGAGGGCTAATTAAACTCAAAAGTAACATTGCTGCTCTTCCCATCAATCTCTAGCCCACTCTAAGGAAATGTGACTCTGTAGTCATGTCAGGGAGCTTTCTTAATGTTTAGTACAGAGTGTTTTTCTTAATGTTTAGAAGCCTTGTTAGCCTGATTTAATACCATTTTCTGTCCATTTCTCGTAGGCTGTTTACTTATTCTATGGAACCAAAGATTGTTTGGTGCAAGAATGTAAAGATTTGAATAAAAAAGTCGAGGTAAGTTTTTCAAGGTTTGGTGGTGTCTAGATTGGGAAGATCTTTTTAACAAAAATGCTGAATTTTCTATTAACATATTCTGCAAAAATACATGGAGTATTTCTTTTATACCACACACTTTGCTAAGCACATTACAGACATTATCCTGGTAAATTCTCACCACAACTCTGTAAAATAAATGCTGTTATATACCCATCATAGAAAAAAGAAAATTGAAATTAAGTAATTTGCCCAGATTCACACAGTGCCCAAGTATACATGTAACCAGAGTGTGAACCTAACTTTATCTAACTCCATTGTCTGTTTAACTTTTAACTCTTATGCCATATGGCCTTCATTTATACATGATGACAAATTAAGGTTACTAACGTGGTGCCTGACACATGGAGACTCGAGAAATTTAAATCCAAAGTTTAATTCATTTTATAGTTATGATGTATTTCTCTTACATACCAAAGCAAAATAAAAATACATGAGCAGTAAAAAAATTATACTGATTAGTTATCACTACAGAATCCCTGACATCATAGTATAGCGAAGTCTTGTGTATATTCCTTGCTTGCTTACAGAAAGAACCTGTAATGGTCAATAACAACAAAGATGTTAATGCAGAGAAACTAGAACTAGTGAAATGGGAAGAGCCAAACAAACAGCTTGGGGAAAAAATGAAAAATTGAATAGGCAATGAGGAGCCAGGGAAAACTGCAAACATTTCCCTTATGTTAGGCAAGGTAGGCAGACACTTAGCTCACAGCCTTTGCAGCTATGACATGAAAAAAATGGCAAGATTTTTCATTTTAAAAAGCTTCCTTCTGCTTTATCATATTCCCTTTTTTCCTGTGTGTTGATAGCATTGGTAGAGTGAAACATACAAGATAGCACGTCATCTTATTGTTGGGTATTTTATTTATACAAAACGTGTTTTTGAAATCACCTACAGAATGCCAGATATTTTCCTAGGTACTAGGGGTTCAGTGATAAATCATCCCTTGCTCTCCTAAATTTACAGTCTAGAGAGAAGAAAAACATTTAAAACACACTGTATACAGTATGAGAAGTGATATAACATGGGAAGTATGTAGTCTTAGAGCTATAAATAAGAGCAATACATAACTCAAGGGCTGGAGAAGTTATCTGAGGAAAGTGGCTACAACAAGCAAGTCTTTCTGGAAGACGTGACAGTTTGGAATCTGAAAATTAAATAGGCGTAAAGAGAGAAATTACAGCATGCTTAAAAAGTATGTGCAGGGCCTCCCCTGGTGGCGCAGGCGGTTGAGCGCTGCACTGTGAAGCTGTCCGCAGCCTCTGCAGCGCCAGTTCGATCCCAGCCAGCCGATGAGGGTCCCATATGGTGCGGCAGACCTCTCCTGTCGCGCCCACTGCTCCCCTCAGCAGTGTACTTAGGTTGTCTGCCTGTTCTGCTCCCGCTATGTCTCTGGTGAATCCTCTCACCCTTCCGCACATCTGGCCTGTACCCCAGCTCTTGTATAAATAAATAAATAAATAGATAGATAAATAAATCTTTAAAAAAAATATATGTGCAAAGGCCCAGGGGCAAGGGCCCTGCACCTCTCATATATTTTATATATATATGAAATTGAACATGAATCCTATATGGGTATGGCTGAAAATAGTGTGCCTGTAGTAACTGACTGCTTGTATTTCTTTAAAGCTAGAACTGGATGGTGAGCGAGTAGAACTGCCTAATTTGGAAGGTATCATAGTTCTGAACATTGGATACTGGGGCGGTGGCTGCAGACTGTGGGAAGGGATGGGAGATGAAACTTACCCTCTAGCCAGGTACGTACATTTATGATTGGTTTTTATGTCACTGTTTTCTTTAAAGTATTCTGTTGGCTCTTTTTAAATTTTAGACATTTTTTTCCCTCAAATTTTCTGTTTCATGTACTTTGTTAACATAAATTTGTAGTAAGTTGGTGGTTCACCTCTGTTTAAAGTTAATTGACCTGGGCCTCCCCGGTGGCTCAGCAGGTTGAGCGCAGTGCTGTGAAGCTATCTGCAGCCTCTGCAGCACCGGTTTGATTCCCAGCCAGCCGGGGAGAAACCCACATGGCTTGGCAGACCTCTCCTGCCTCGCCCTCTGCTCCCCTCGGCAGTGTCTTCTGACTGTCTGGATGTTCTGTTCCCCTCTCTGTCTCTGGTGAATCCTCTCACCCTCCTGTACATCTGGCCTGTACCCCAGTTCTTATATAAATAAATAAATCTTTAAAAATTAAAAAGGCGGCTTTTAAAAAAAAAGAAATTACTCCATGCTAATGTGGCTGATTTCCTAATGTGGCTGATTTTTATTGCATCATATAATCCATATTTCCTATTTCCAATTTTAGGTATGATGATGGTTTACTGGAAGTCGTTGGAGTATATGGATCTTTCCACTGTGCCCAAATTCAAGTAAAATTGGCAAATCCTTTCCGAATAGGACAAGCACATACAGTGAGGGTAGGTGAAGTATTTGCTAACAGGTTAATTTATCTCTCAGTCCATTTCTAAGCAGTAGATAATGTTGAAGAAAATAACACATGCTGTATATAGCTTTCCTTATCAGTGGTTTACATCCCATGTTATTGATTATCCTATGCCAGGGGCTTCAGGGGATGGTTAAGAAATAGGAAATAGCCCTAAATCCAGTTGAAGAAATAAAACATTGACTGGAAAAGAATCTCTTAGACTATCGATGAATAAAGATGTATTAAGATTAATTTTCTAAGAATAAAGTAAATGGGGACCTCCCTGGTAGTCTAGGGATTACGTCTCAGTGCTATCATGGCTATGGCCAGAGTTCGATCCCCGGCCAGGGAGCTGACCCACATGGTGCAGAAGACCTCTCCTGTTTCACCCGCTGCTCCCCTCAGCAGTGTATTTCAGTGCATCTTCCTGTTTTGCTCCCCACTCTGTGTCTGGTGAATCCTCTGTCCTATACCCCACTTCTTTTGTGCATAAATAGATAAAAAATATATTTAAAAAAAAAAGATGAAGTGTAAAAAAAGTCCCCAAGAAGGGATAAGAGACCATGGATGAGATAAAGGAAGACCTTTCTGAACATATTGGGGACTAACTGTTTTCTATTTTTTCCCTGATGCCAGCTGATTTTGAAGTGTTCGATGATGCCCATGCAGGTAGATGGGGAGCCGTGGGCCCAAGGGCCCTGCACTGTCACCATAACACACAAGACACATGCACTGATGTTATATTTCTCTGGAGAACAAACGGACGATGACATCTCTAGTGCTTCGGATCAAGAGGACTTAAAGGAAACTGATGGATGAAGAAATGAAAACTTAATATAGAATTCTCACAAACAAGTAGAATCTTATTCATCCAAAAGTAGAAATGCTCTATCAACTCTTTAATCTTAAGTTCACCAGTAATATAGGAGTATGTGTTCATGTAAATAGCATTCCAAAAATAGCCAGACTTCCAATTGTTTATAAATGCCTGTTCTTTTTTCATCAAAACTCCTTGATCATATAGTACTAACTTTTAAAATGTCCCAGAATGTTACTTGTAGGTGAAATGTTTTCCCTAGCTTTGAGAGTGTTGAGTCTCTGAAGTATGCATCTCATTCCTTGTTCTTGAACCAGGCGTTAGGTAGACACATCATATATCTACAAGACGAGGTGGAGGGTCATTTCCATCTTCATTTGGAAATGGTAACATCATAACATTTAAAAAATTAACTCGCTCTTTTGAAAGGAGATGGTTAGTGTGAGACCAGCATGGCCAGTGTGGGTGCAGTGCTGTAGCATGCCTCGGCAGAGCTCCTGCACCCCGGCTCCTAGTCCATTCATAAGCATGTATTTCCAAGAAGTCCTAAAAAGAGAAAGGCCAATACTTAATACTTTTTTATTGTAGGAGCATTTTTAGGCCATCAGATGTTGTTTGGTTAACTGTGTTCATGACCGTGGTGAGAGAAATTCAGCATCTCGTTTATAACCTAGTATAGCCAGAGGAGAACCACAGAGGTGAGCTGGTAAAAATTAACATTCAGAGCACTTTGTATTGAAAGTTATGGATTCTGAACTGTATAGCTCACCAGCTTCTCTTTTGATTAAAAGACTGTCAACAATTCAAAAAAGTATACTAAAGAAAATTTACTAGTCAGATTACTAGTTTCCTTGTTACTAGTCAGATTACTAGTTTCCTTGTCACTAGTCAGATTAATTGCTCAAAAATAGCTGAATAATGATTGATAAAGTTTAAAAACTTCAGTGGTCTGGCATAATACAGTGGTCTTTTATATCTAAACTACTTAACAAAATTTCCCCTGAGGGAAAGTGGAGAGAATCCTCTGCTAAAATGTTTATATCATATTTATTTTAAAATGAGAGATATATTTTTTTTACTTATTTATTTTCTTTATTGTGGTATATCTGTGTTTACAGTTTGCAATATGTGGTTTTATTTAGTAAGTTAAATGGATCACAGATGTCCTGTGAGTCAAAATCAGAAATGAAGCCCACTGGCTGCATATTAAAACCCATAGTAATTCTGACAAATACATTATCCAAATATAGTCTCATTCTTCAGAAATATTCAGTATTTTTAAAAAGAGGAATGAAGTGTTTTTTACAAAGAGGGGAAGTGAAAACACTGGCAAACTTTTTAGAAGTATTGTTAGTATTTGTCCCTCAATTGCCAAAAACTTATTGAAAGGCTAGTCTGATCATTCCCCACTAGAGGGTGCTCTTCTGTCGTTAGCCAGTCTAGTCCATCAAGTTCTGCAGATAGGCTGACCCATGGGGCTGATTTCCAGCCTGTGCTTTTTCTGACAAATGGTCCCTTTATGGTCCTGGTGGTCTTTCAGAAGGTAAATCTCTGAAAGACTTGAATGTATTCCCCAAAACATCGTTAGCTCCCCTTCGCATCTGTTATAAATCTATAATCCACAAATTGCCATAAACTTTCACTTTAATCATCTTCAGACCCAGGCTTTGTTTTAAAGAACAACTCAGTAATATATACAGTAGTCAGTACATTATAAAAATACCTATTTTGCTTCAATTAGCTTCTTCCAGATCTCGCAGGAAATGCTAGTTCTAGCATTGAAAGATTTTGTGAGCAGATCTGTTTTCATGGTTTTACCTTATTCAGAATACCTTTCATAGTACCCTATTGCGTGGAGGGAGAGTTTTATAGATATTCTTTTGGGGGTTGATCATGTTTTGAATATAATGAGTTTAATTCCTTAATAGTCAAAATTGTTACATATACCACATTTTATAAATATATTGTTAAATTCACTTTGTTTTAGGCTGTATTTTGTCTGTAATTCATTTTACTAATTATAGACTCAAAGTAAATAGTTAATATCGGAATAATCAAAATAACTATATATTTGCTTTTTTTTTAATTGTTGAGACCAGTCTGACCATACTACTACTTTGGATTTAAAACACATTTATATAGAATGCCTTCATTTGCTTAAACTTTTTTGTAGTTAGATTTTTTTCCCTACTGACCCTTTGTGAAGTTTTTCTGTTGTCTATTTACTCTTTACACTTAATTTTTATTTAGGAAAGTTATTTCAGAGTACCATATCATAAGACATATCTTGCTTTAGTAAAATTTCCTTCCTTTTTAAGGCACATTTACCCAGCACTTCAAATAAATGTATAGGCATGTGACTTGTTTCAAGTAAGTTCAATTTACAAGACATGTTTGCAAGTTTTGTGTTAGGATATCATCTAAGTATTCCACACTGGAAAAAAAAAAAAAAGCATAATTTGCCACAAGATTTTTTTATTCCATTCTGAACTTCTGCATTCTCAGGAAGATATACATGAGGTATCTCTCTGTCTGTTTCAGATTTCCCACATCTTTTCCTGTCCTAATATATTCCTAACTCCATATAAACTTAGTGGCTTAACTACTGAATACCTGGCAGCTCTTACAGATCCCATAAATAGATGTTAATAATTTTCAGTGCTTTTATTGTATTTAGTAGAAATCAAACTGGCTTGTATTTTAAAATACAGGTTGTCCAGTAAGATTACATGATCTTAAATGTGTTTTAGGTTTTCTGCAACAATTAGCTGTGAACTCTTAATATAGCTAATGTTTATAAAAATTTTACAGTCAAAATTATTTTATTTTTCAGGGTGTCTCAAAAAGTGTAGTATTTGCTTTCTGAAATACGTTTGCCTACTTAGAATTATAAAATATACTGTGACTCAGAAATGGTAGTCTTTTGTGCTGTAAAAATGAATACTACGAGCATGTCAAAAGAAAAGTAGTTTGCATTTGTAAAGTAAAATTGTATTTAATGTATATTATGGAATTTTAAATTTGCACTAACTAAAAAACTTTAAAGGTTATATTAATTTACATATTCATGTGGATCCGAATACATAATTTGTACTTGGTCACCTGAAAAGGTTGACAGAATGGATGATCATTTTTTGTGGTTTTCCCTCAAAGTGATAATATTGAAGCAAGAACCAGCACTTTATATTCTGTATTTTTTTATTTCTACCTAATTGGATACAATGGAATGTAGGTAGATGTATTTTTTAAAAAGTTAGAAATTTTAAAAGGAAAAATAGTGTTGTTAATCTGTCCTAACCCAAATGAAAGTGCTTTCCCAGCAGCACCATGGAAAAAAGGGCGGGTTTTTTTTTTTGTTTTTGTTTTTATTTTGCTTTTAAAAGATATGCCCCCCTGCCTTTCTCAAATTTTCCCTGCAAGGCCTATTTCCTGTTTTTCAAAGTATGATCTGCAAGATCTCTGACTTATGGATGCCTAAGCTCAGCCCTGGGCTTCATAAATCAGTCTGGCTGGGACACAGATATCTCTGGTTTTATTAGCAAGTGCCCCAGGCAATTCTGATGCACACTTGACATTTTTAAACTACTGGTCTGTACCTCGAGTTCAGTCAGGGCGAGGGTCAAGGAGCCACTTGCTCTAATGACTCTCACCTGGTTAGTTTTATATTGCTTTTTATGTATTCTGGCACCTTGTGTTTTTTGGTCAAAAGATTATTTCAGAGGTCTCAGTGGCAACCTGGAATATGGTCACTTGGCTATTTCACAAGTTTTAATGGCATATCGTTGAATAGTAAAGCACTGACTTAGCCGCTGTCCCTTGTGTTCCCAGTTTTTGTAAAGTGTGGAAGCAGTCAGTGTGGTTTAATTAATTTTAGTTATGTAAATACACACAGGTATTCATCCCCATGGCCCTGACTATGGTCAGTGCATGAATCATGTAGGTCTCAAAAAGCTACATTCCCAGCTTCTGGAGAAAGAATCAAAAATGTCACCCTTTAATACAGAAGTTCCCAAAACTTGAACGAAGTAATTGAGCTCTGTCACCAGCAGCTATAAATACAAGGGCGTTGCTGCTATGAGTCCAGGGGCACTTTGTCTGTCTCTGCGAGGGTGCCCAAGCTACCTCGCTGTTGAGGGACAGCCTCTACTCAGAACGCAAGTAGCGGGAGATAAACTTTAACCTGGGGCTTCCCATCATGTGCTTTTTGATAACTGACATGGAACGTTGAAAAGGGGGATCTGGAAAGCAATGTTGCTTTCCCTGTTCCTCTAACATTGACCAGGCAAGGGGGCTTCCTTACCACATGAGGGCTTCTGAGGAAAGTCCGAGAGTAAGGAGAAAGGGTATTGTGTGTGCTTGGATGAGCGTGGCTCATATGAACATTTGTTCTCATTCCTACAGTCTGGTCCCTACCAGCAGTCTCTCCAATTTGATCTGCTTCTATGAGCCCTGCAGAAAATTGTCCCTCTGATTTCTAATTCTGTTCTGTTCAAGTTTAGAACAACCTGGGTCCTTGACCCTGTCAGTGTTGTGGGTGAGCTAATTGGGTCAGCTCTCTGAACCCACAGTGTCAAGGACACTTGTGAGGACTCCATTTGAAGTAGCCAGCTGGCCTTGTGTACTTTCTTTTAAAAAAAAAAATTTATTTGTGCATGGAAGAACTGGGGTATAGGCCAGAGGAGTGAAGGGTGAGAAGATTCACCAGAGACAGAGTAGGGAGCACAACAGGCAGACCTACTGAAATACACTGCTGAGGGGAGCAGTGTGGGTTAGCTCCCTGGCCGGGGATCGAGCTTACGCTGCAGTGACTGCAATGGATTGATAGTGCTGGCTTTAACCCCTGTGCCACCAGAGAGGCCCTGGCCTCATGCACGTTCTCCTGTCTCTGACCACAGTGCTGTGTACCTACCACTTGATGACCCAGCGTTATTTTGTTGTGCTGCATCTGTATCGTGGTCAATGCCTACAGACAGAGCTATGTAAATTAAAGCATTTGATATGTTGAAGATGTTTGTTTTTTTAATAAAAGTAGATGTGCGGGACTTAAAAGGTATGCTCTTGTGGTTTTTTTTTGTTTTTTATGATAAAAAATATATTTACAATTAGGCAGCTGGACTCAGTTTAGATGATCCCAATTTTGTGGCAACATCCAAAGCATACTAGCAGGAGCCAGTGGAACATAAGCCTTCTTCTCTCCATCAGGTCTGATCAGGGTGTTGACCTTAACAACATCAGTGTCACAGAGCTTCCTCACAGCCTGTTTGATCTGGTGCTTGTTGGCCTTGCCATCCACGGTGGACACAAGTGTGTGTGTATTCTGTCTTCTTGGCGGACTCAGTGGTCAGCGGGAACTTGAAGATGGCACAGTGGCCAAGCTTGTTTGTCCTGGGAGCACTCTTCCTGGGAATTTGGGTTGCCCGCGGAGCCACAGTGTCTTGGACCTCTGAAAAGTGGATGATGTGCGGATCTTGTTTTTCTTGTGACTGTAGGTGCCTTTTAGCTCTGCCTTTTTGGCCTTCAAATCTTTTGCTTTGGCTTCTGCTTTGGGAGGGGTAGAGACTTCCTTTACTTTTGGTGCCATCTTCATGAAAAGGAATTCTGAAACCCGTTCCCAAGGGCTTGTGTTGTTTTTTGGCACATCATAGAGATTACATATCACCAGCGCTTCTGTAACCTATGGGTACAGCTCAGACACATTTGAAAGACACTCAGAAGAAACATAATTTCATGGCTCCTGACAGAGTAGAGCAGTAAATAGAATGAAATAAATGAGGTGAATTTGTCTCATTTTCAGTGTGTACAGTGCAAAAAGGATAGAATTACTTGTAATTCCTAAGTTGCATCCCCAGCCTCTGCCATTGGTTAACAGTGGGCAAGTTACTTGTTTTGTCTGAGCCTCAGTTTTCTTCATAAAGGAAAACCATAGCGGTGGATGCCCTTGACCTACGGCTGCAAACCCAGAGGCTTGGAGAGCAGTGACAAAGGGCAGAGTGCTGGAGACAGCAGTAGCAGAGAGTGATCATCACAGGCCAGCAAGCCTGGCATGAACACAGCTCATTTTTCCAGAAAACAGAAATCTAGATTTTCTATAAAATTTTATACCCAGGTTGGCAACCTATAGCCTCCCGCGGGGTTATGTAATGACATAAAGGGAAGTGGGAGAGAAGACTTGGCAAATATCAGCATTTCCTTCCATTTGAATTTTTATGAAATCTTAGGGCTTTATCAGCTGTTCTCTGGATGTCATTTAACATTTTGTGACAGAACATTTTTATTCATTAAGTAGCAGAGGCAGGAGAGCCTGTGACCCAGCTTCATTCCTTCATCTTTAACCAGAAGTCCATGTTTTAGAGAAATTTTTGAAATAACTCATTGGTCTGCTTTTTTAAAAAACAGACAATGCTAAGCATAATGTGCCTTTTCTTGATCAGTGAACTTGAACTGTGCTTGGCTGTGAGCCACTGAAGTTCAGAAGGAGGGCTCTGTGATGGACTAGCTACCTCTGGCTATTCCATGGTCTAATTTCTTAAATGCCTTCACCACAAATCGGGCACATGGAGTTGTAATGCACGCGTGCTCACTCTCGCCCCCTACACTCAGTGAGGGGCGCACATTGACTTCCTTTTACACACTAACTCAGAACTAATAGCAACCCCAGGTCCTCACCCCTGCTGCTTTTTCATGTGTTATATAATTAACACACATTATATAAAATGTCAAATGTAGGCAGGTATGTTCATTATGCTGGGCACCAAGAATGCTGGGGGTTATGATACAGCTCTCAAAGGGACTCCCACCCCAGCCATATGGACTTAAGAAATAGTATTTTTTTTTTTTCTTACCTGTGAATACATAGAGAAATGTGAGTTATTCTGTAGGAAAGCTGTGTATGCTGAGGTTTGAAGTCGAGGAGCTTACCCTGGTCAATTTGCATTCAAATTGATGAACATAATGCCTATATTTTGTCAAGTTTCTTTCAGTGTGTTATAGAATATTTACTCTGCAGGACACTGGCCTCTGCATGGGGAGGGGGCATTGGGGAGTCTGAACAAAAAAAGTTTCCAAGGTACTGCGTTCACAGGGCAGCGAGGGCCAACCAACACTGTCCTCCCAGAGCAGGCCCACACACATCTCAGCCTGTCCTCAAGGATCTGCAGAAGGGCCTATTCTACCATGTGCTGGTCCTCTAGTAGCTGATTGAATTGGGGGAGAGCACATCTCCCCCAGCAGACAACCCCATTCTCTGCTGGGCTTCATTTTCATGAAATGCCTTTGTAGTTTTTAAATCTGTCCTACTCAAGTGCTGCACACAAACTACTTTCAATTTACCAGGAAATAAGTACAGAAATTAAAGAGTACAAGATTAGAAATGTTTACAGCTATTTTAACAATTAACTATTAAATCTAATCACAAATTGCAGCTTATATTTTGTCTTTCTCATGTCACTTCTCCTAATTGTATTTTATAAAAGGATCAACACATAGGGCCTTCCTGGTGGCACGAAGGGCTAAGTGTCAGCACTATCAAGCTATTGGCAGCTACTGCATTTGATCCCCAGCCAAGGAGCTACCCACATGGTGCAGCAGACCTCTCCTGTCTTGCCCACTGCTCCCCTCAGCAGTGTGTTTCAGTAGATCTGTCTGTTTTGTTCCCTACTCTGTCACTGGTGAATCCTCTCACACAAACCCTCCCGACACACACACACCCCTCTGGCCTACACCCCAGCTCTTGTATGCATAAATAAATAAATCTTAAAAAAATAAAGTATCAATATATGATCTATTGGAAATGTGAAAATAAAACTCCAGGCCCTTCACCACAGAGAGTTTGAGAAGGACTGCTTTAAATAACACGCCTGCTTCCTTTGGAAGAGGAGGGGACCCAGCTGCAGTGAGTTTCTGTTTCCTTATAAACAAACATGCTCTGGCTGAAATGTTGCATGAGCCTTGCTTGAATTTGGTAACAGGAGCCATGACCTTTAGTGTCTGACACCAGAACCTGATTCAGGTAATGGCAGTGGACTCTGGACCAATGAAATACCCAGACAACAGCGGGGAGGGGGAGAGAAGCTAATAAAAGTCCGTTACTTCTAGGTAGGTAAGAAATGATGTAACTGGAACATATAAACTAAGAACTATCTAGTCTGGAATTTGGTGGCTTAACAGCATATTTGTAAAGCATTTAATCATTTATAGAGCATTATTACTGAAAGTATTTTTTCTCTAACAGGCAGATATCATTTTTGTCTTCCAAATGAGGGCAACATGGTTCAGAAAGGTGAGTGACATGCCATTGTCACACAGAGCTGGGGTTCCAGCCCAGTCTTGTGACTCCAAATCTAGCTGGGGGAGGGGGCTGTAAAATTATGGAGAGTTTGCTTTTTTACTCTACTTTTTGTGTTACCTCAAGGGTTATGGCATCTGATTTAGTGCTCAGTGTTGGGGTCCCATCTTTTGGCTTCCCTGTTTTCAGCAGCAGTGACTGCAGTCTTCATGACAAGTCTTTCATTTCAGTCGATGGACAGGTTTTTTCCATCTCCACATTCCAGGCGGCAGGGAGATGGGGAAGGGTCAGTCTGTATTTTATTTTTTTTAAAGATTTATTTATTTATGCATACAAGAACTGGGGCACAGGCCAGAGGTGTGGGGGGTAGGGGGTGAGAGGATTCACCAGAGACAGAGTGGGGAACAGAACAGGAAGACTGAAATGCACTGCTGAGGGGAGCAGCAGGAGAGTCAGGAGAGGTCTGCCTCACCATGCGGGTTGTTCCCTGGCCGGCTGGGGATTGAACCTGTGCTGCAGAGGCTGCGGGTTGCTTCATAGGTTGTGTCTTAACCCCTTGCACCACCAGGGAGGCTCCAGTCTGTATTTTAGAGATGTCTCCTGGCAGCTTTCACAGGACACCTCCACTTACCTTACATTGGGTATGACTTAGTCACGTGATTAAATGGGGCCCATTTAAAACATTCAAGTTTGGGGGTCCCTAGGTACCCCTAAGTTGTGCACTAATAATCTCACTCATGAGGATGCCACCCTCAAGATCTAATCACCTCCCACAGGTCCCACCTTTAATACCACCACATTGGGGGCTGGGTTTCAAAATGAATTTGGAAAAACACAAATATTTTGCTTACGATACACGGCCTTCTTCAGATTCAATAATTCACCAGAACTCAAGACTCAAGAAAGTGCTATGTACATGATTATCACTTTATTATAAAGGATACAAATCAAAACCAGCCCAATGAAGAGATACACAAAGCAACATCTAGGGGGGTTCCAAAGGCAGAACTTGGTTCCCTCCCCCTGCAGATCAGGGGGCATCACCCTCCTGGTGCAGCAATGTGTTTGGTGGAGGTTCAGTGTCCAGAGTTTTGGTGGTCTCCATGGGCACAACTGATTGACTCCCTGGCCACAATTTCTGACTCAGCCTCCAGCCCCTTTTCCTGGAGGTCAGGATAGTTCAAAGTTCCAACCACCCCCTAATTCTTACCTGTCCTTTCTGATGTCAGTCCCCATTCTGAGAAGCTCCACCCCTAGCCTAAACCCAAGGGGCACACAAATAACAAAGGCATGACTATTACTGGGAAAATTCTATGAATTTAGCATCACCCCACCAGGATCGAGTCCAATTCTTTTAGAACAATCTCAAATCTACACATCCTGCAATTCCTAATTCAAACAAGGATAACTTCCACCACATTGGGAGCTGGGTTTCAAAATGAATTTGGAGAAACACAAACATTTTGCTTATGGTACAAGGCCTGGTCTGTTTTTTGTTATATGTATTTTTTTTAAGATTTATTTATACAAGCACAGGGTACAGTCAGAAGCGCGGGAGGGTGAGAGAATTCACCAGAGCCAGAGCGGGGAGCAGAGCAGGCAGAAGGACCGAAGTACACTGCTGAGGGGAGCAGCGGGAGGCAGGAGAGGTCTGCGCGCCATGTGGGACCCTCGCCGGAGGCAGGGATCTCGAACCGGCACTGCAGAGGCTGTGGCAGCTTCGCAGCCCAGCGTGAAACTGCTGCACCACCAGGGGAGGCCCTTTTTTTCTTTTTTTCGTATTTTTTAAAACGTTTTATTATAGGTGATTCCCAACATATACAACAGAAAAAATAACGTGAGCACTGACATTATCATGCTGATTAGCAGTAAATGGGGTACCTTTCTCATACCGCCCACTTCTCTCCCCATGTCCCATCCTCAGAAGTTCTGCAGCAAAGGCCACAAGGACTGGGAATCCTTTATCAAATGCCTCCTGAGGGGTGCCACACCCATAGCGGGCCTCCAACCTGCTGCAGATTTGCTGATGTCTCAACCCCTGGGGGCAGCTGGGTGGGACCTGGATGGGCTCTGAAGCTCCAGGGTACCATTTTCTACAAGCAATAGGATGCAAAGAAATCAAACACCGCTTTGTTATACGTCAGCCAGTATTGGCCAGCCATAGTATTTCTCATCGGTTTCAAAAGATCTGTCTCTCTAGCCTGATTATCTTCTGAAGAATCAACTCTAAAAGAGTAAGTTCAAGAAAGAATAGCTCAAATACCCCTAATTAATTAAAACCAATAGTGGGGGAGGGATGAGAATAAGGTAAGAGATACTATATCAGTCTAAATTAGAGATCGCAGATTTACTTCAGAGAAAGTAAAATGAGGGTCAGCCAGTCTTGACTAATACAAGAACTGACTTTGGTGCGTCATGCCAGGGGCACAGAGACAGCCCCTGATGCCTGGGATTGTAATTCTCTGTTTCGGGAATTTCTAGTAATCCGCCAGGCTACAAGGGTGGTTCCCTCACACACTCTTAAGCAGCAGCTCCTCTATTATGGGATGGCAAGAGTGGTGAATGGACTCATCCTCTTATCTTGCATCTGACTTACTATGCAGAATAAGTCAATGACTACAAGGGTTCCCCCCAACTCTCAGACTCTAGGGTTGGGTAGCAGCCTTGCAAGGGAGGGGGAGATGTAAGGTCAAGACATTAGGGGCTTATAAGCCTCAATTCACATCTCCAGAGCCCCCTGCACAGGACTCAGCTTGGGCTACCTACCTGCCTCTCTCATAAACAGAGGGACTTAGTGAGCTTCCCTACCTGAGCTATGCGTTAGCAGGGAAGAGCCCTCTCTGTTGCCCTCCTTTCTACAGAGGAGCCAGAGTAGGGCCCAGGGATTCATCTTTGGCATTCTCTTCCTCTCAGCCTTGCTGTTTCCCAAGTATGAACTGGCTTCAGCCAGGGCTTTTATTTCATATCGATGAAGATGCTATTGAACATCTCCAAAAGCAGAGAAGAATCACCAAGGAATTTTTCTCCCAAGTATTGAAGAAGAAAACATTTAAAATCCACATTTCAGCTACTGCAGGGATGTGTTCCCTACAGACAATCTCTCTCCCACGGCAGTGAAAGGCCTGATCAGAGCTGGCCCAGATCAACACCAAGTTCCTGGGCCTGACCAGAGCATCACAGTATGCTAGCACAAGGCCATGGAATTCCAGCACAAGGCCAGAGTGTTCATTCTCAAGCATGCACATGAAAATGTATGGGGCCCCACTTTCGCAGTGGTGACCTTTTTTTAAATACCACAAGGAGCCTGGCTTGAGCTCCTCTCTTGAGAAGGCCACAAGAGGTTAGATCTCCCACTTTGGGGATGGGCTGATTGATATTCAGACATCAGGGTAGAAGGAATTCTGGAAAATGCCAGCACTCCATGCACTCCTGCCCCTTAGTGGCCATTAACTCCTGAGGTTATCTTCACTACACAGAAACACTGCAGGAAAATAACCCTTTGGACTGTTTGGCTACTTTTTGTGCTAACAGCCCTGTAGCTGCCCCCCCTGGTCCTAAAGGTCTCCTCAATCTAGCCTGCCTGCTCAACCTGCACACCTGGAAGACAGCAGCTGGGGCCGGTGACATGCCCCTGTCTCGTGCCAGGTGAGGGCCAGCGCTGAGTCTGCAGCCTGAAACCGGGAGGAATAGCAATGTGGCTGTTCCCATGACATCTTCTGTAAGGCCCTTTGGGTCACAGTCACCCCAGCAGGTAAACTACTATGGTCCCCTGGGTCTGTCTGTGCGACAGCTGCTTTGGATATTGTGCTTAGCTGTTCCTGCTTGACACTGGGTCAGTGGCCTGCCTCCACCTGCCAGTCCAGCCTCTCTGCCAGTCCACCGAGCAGTGTGATCCATAAGAAGAAAGATGCTCTAATAAGAGGGAAGCCACATTTCCGATAGGCCTGGTTAGGGTTCCACTTACCAGTGGAGTTCCTTACCCCAAAGCCTAGGCTACAGCAAGGCCTCCAGCAAGGCTCCATACAGTAGCCACAGTGTGGTGTCTCTGCTGACGATGCTTCTGAGTACCTTTTGCAATACTTGGGAGAGGGTTTTAGGCCTGGGTCACCTCGAGTTTGAATCATAATTCAGTACAGGCTGACTTGGCTCATGGTGTGAAATCCCAGACTGAAAAATTTCCTGCTTGAGTAAACATTTGGAAATCTTGGATGAGGTGGTGAGGTGTGCAGGTCAGGAAGAGGAGCTGGGCTGTTTTCCAGTAAAGGAAAAGAACATGCTTCTTTGGGAAACTGGGTGGAGACCTGCTGGGAGAGGTGCCTTCAAGCACAGGAAATAACCAAAAGTCTGAAAATACCTTTCACCGCCCCCTCCACACACACATACATGTACATAGGAGAGTAGTAGTACTGAAATTCTATGATTTGCAATTTTTTAAATTCTAGAATTGAATAGCTGCATAGAGAATTATCAAAGCAGGAAAGGCTACTCCAGAGAGCAAAGGCGCACACATCCAATAGCCCGAGAAGAGCCTGCAGGGGTGTGGGTGCTGTGTAAGAGGAAGGGGCACAATGACTTTATTCCCCAAGGCCTTGGCCAGCTGGCCAGCAGCCTGGAGATCTACCAGAACAAGGGGTGGGGCAGGGGAGGCCGCCCTGTCCCGAGTACCTGGAAGTCGAAACGCTTCCTTGCTCACAACACAATCATCTCCACCCCTTTCTCTGGCCAAACCCCTTTTCTCTTAGCCAGTCTCCTCACCGTCTCTCCTTCCAAGTCCCCTTCTATTCTTTCAATTCTTGGGGACTGTCAGGGAAGTTCTCTAAGAGATTTGATTTATAGCGAGTTCACTAAAGTTCTGGGGACCCCACAGCAGTCCAAGCATAGGGCCTGCCTACTTGGAGCTGCAGATGGAGAGCATGGTACCAGCAGAGAACACCCAGAAGGCTGGGTACAGAGCTTCAGTAAAGTCCGCCTTGAACTTATACATCACGTGGAGCTTATCGGCAACCCCAAAGAAAATGACGAAGCCATGGTCGCAGTTGAGAAGTACACCGACCCGCGTGGTTTTGGTGGAGGGCAGGGTTTTCTCCACGTTGTTGTGCCAGGCAGAGATCTTGTTGTTGAACCACTCCACGCACCAGGAGGCGCTGTTGCGGCCAAGCCGGCTCTCGGGGCCTTGCCGGTCCATGCTGCCATAGCAGATGCCCACCCCACAGAAGCTGTTCTTCTGCATCTCCACCTCCCAGTAGTGAATCCCCTTCTTGTAGCAGTGCAGGCCCATCACCTGAGAGCAGGACACAAACCTCTGGGGGTGAGGTCGGTAGTTCTGGGGGGTGTCAGCCACAGAAGCTTCGGTGTAGTTCCCAGACAGAGCCACCTTGTTGTGTGAGGTGTTGTAGTCCAAGATGACTTTTGTGGAATCTAAGGAACGGGACCCCAAGGAATCAGTTACAAGGAACCCGAAGTGTGCTCATTTTTAAACCTCTCCCCCAGTATTATTCATCTGTGTCATCCACCCATCCACCCATCCTTGCCAGCCAGCCAGACACTGTCCATTTGTCTGCCCACCAATCCAGCCATTTGCCCATCTATCAGCCACCCATCTGTTTGTCTATTCATTTACCCCAAGCCAATGACCAAGCACCTGATTCATGCCAGATTTGGTGCAAGAAACATAACTATGAAGCAGAGAGACACGGTGTCTGTCTCAGGGAGTTCACCCTCCTCGTGGCAAGCCAGCCACGGTAACTACACCACGACCCAAGCTCCGCCACAAAGTGCAGCGCTACCTGGGTCAGGCGCACAGACTCCCAGCCATGGGCTCTACTGGAGGGGCGGAAGAGCACAAGGGAATACCTCTCAGGTAGCCAGATGCTGAGCTGAGCAGCAGGAAGATGAGAAGAATTAAAGAGAGAAGAGCGGAATGAGGGAGGGGATGGCAAAAGCAGACCTGGAGCCACAGGGTGGGAGGTGTGTGCTGGGGCCTCAAAGGCACACAGCTGGGAGCAGGCAGGAGGAAGGAGGAATGCTGGGGCCACGGACTAGAGAGTTACAGGGTCTAGACTTTGTTGTTTTTGCATAGAAGAACTGGGCCAGAGGCGCGGGGTGTGAGAGGACTCACCAGAGACAGAGTGGGGGGCAGAACAGGTGGATCTACTGAAATACACTGCTGAGGGGAGCACTGGGCGAGACAGGAGAGGTCTGCTGCACCATGTGGGTAGCTCACTGGCCGGGACTCGATCTTAGGCCATAGCAGTGACAGTGCTGAGACGTAACCCCTAGGCTACCAGGGAGCCCCAAAAGGCCTAGACTTTGATTGGTGAGCAGCAGAGTGCCAGCTGAAGTTTGCAAGCAGGGAGAGGACCTGAATGATATAAATAACTATACACACACATACACACACACACACATACACGTCCTGGCCTGGAATGCTGGTATGGCCTTCCTTCCCTTTCTGCCCTATTTCTACCCAGTTTCTGAAGATCTGAAGACAGAGCTCAGCTGATTGTTGTCTCCACCCAGTATCTCCTCCCAAGACATGCCCATCTCTGCCCCTCCCCTTGTAGGGGGGCCCAGATCCCCGGGAGAGACAGGTTATGGGGCAGCAAGGCAGAGAGGAATAACCCCTTAGAGTTCACCATCCCAGGCCACTCCCCTGTGAAGTGGTTGAGGGCAGGATGCTCTTCTCTGGGGTCTGGGTTTTGTTCCCCAGGTAAGATGAAAGGGCTGGGGAAGGTGTTCTCTATGGTACTAAGATGCTAGAACCTCACTCCCTCCTTACACGGCTGTGTCACAGAGCACAGGGGACTCGGCACTGCCACAGAGGCTGGGGGGAGTCAGCTCCAGCTGGCCTGGAGGCCAGCCCTAAGAAACCGAGATACCCGCAGATACCCACTGAGCAAAGAGAAAAGAGGACCCAGAGCACTTTTCATTAATAGGTTTTGGTCACTGTTTGGAGGTATGCACAAGTGGAGGGCGCTAGAGATGTGAAAATATGGGATTGGGTGCAAAAGGAAGAGGTAGAGCGGTCGAGCCCTAGAAGGATCTTGCGAGAAATCCACCCCTTTCTGGTGAGACAAGGAAGAAACAGGCTAGACTAAAGGGTGACTGCATGGGTCAGTGGAGCCAGGGTAGGGTGGCGGCTCGGGCAAGTGGGGGTTACTAGAAGGAGCAGTGGCACTAAGACATCAAGCTGGATGAAGGCAGAAGGGCCTCCTCTATACACGGTGGCACAGAGGCCACTGCTAAGCAGGGGCAGAGCTGTCCCGGGAGGGGAAGAGACAGAGGTCTGACCCGGTAGAATGAGAATCGGATCCTTGGCCTCTCACCCCTGGGAGCTTGAAAAACATGGAGATTTGAGCTGATCTGGGTGCTGCCTGGGCATCAGGGACTTGAACAAAACTCCCCGGGGGAGTCTAACATGAACCTCAGTTGAGAACCACCCGTGCTGATCATCATCAGGACTGTATTTTTCCAAACTTCCCTCAAAAGGATCACCGAGGAAATGAGATCAACACAGAACTTTCTATGCTTGTCCCTGAAGCCTGATCTTGCAGAACTGGAACCGGTCCCAGGAATTTGAATTTTTAACCAGAATTCAGGTGAAAGGGGGTGGGAGGGCCAGGCAGAGCCGCAGCCAAGAAAGCTTGGCTGGTTTGGCTGGTTTTGTTTTTGTGTGCTTTGCTTTTGTGATAAGGGTTATGAGTGGGCAGGCCCCAGGAGACAGTGCGGGTGAGAGGCGGAGGGAGAAAGCCTAACGGAGAGCTTACAATTCCAGAGACAGCAGAGGGGCCCGGGCCGACCTTGGAGAAGGAAGAGGGTGTGGAGCCAAGTAAGATGGCGATGCCTGAGAGGACCAGGGGCCTCTCTTCTCTGGGAAGCAGAGCGCGGGAGGGGCAAGGAGATGCAGTTGTGGCACAGGAGGGTCTGAGAATGGCAGAGGAGGGCCAGAAACAATAACAGGACCACCCAGGGGTGTCTCCAGCTGAGAAAGGGGTGCTTTGTATTCCATCTGGGTGTGAGCCAGACCGGACAACAAGAAGAGATTCAGTGGACTGTTGTGGAATTTAAGCTGGTTAGAGAAGGGTAAAGAAAAGCAGGTGATGGGGGCCTCCCCAGTGGCGCAGAGGTTGAGCGCCACACTGTGAAGCTGTCCGCAGCCTCTGCAGCACGGTTTCAATTCCTGGCCCACCAGGGAGATACCCACATGACGCGGCAGACCTCTCCTGTCTTGCCTGCTGCTCCCCTCTGCAGTGTCTGGTCCATTTGCTTGTTCTGCTCCCCACTCTGTCTCTGGTGAATCCTCTCAACCTCCCATGCCTCTGGCCTATACCCCAGTTCTTGTATAAATAAAAAATAAATCTTAAAAAAAAAAAAAAAAGAAAAAAGAAAAGCAGATGATGACAACAGGGGCAATTAAGGGTGCAGCAAAGTAGAGAACAGATAAGTCGCTGGCCAGTGGGGAGGCCAACCCCAATGCACCTCCCGAAAGAGTCAAACAGGGAGACTGAGAGCCAGAGACCAAGCTACTCACATTCCAGGAGCTCGGCCCTGGACTTGGCTAAGAAGGCCTCCAGCACCTTGGCCTTGAGAAACATTGCATTTGGCTGCAAGGGGGTCATTTTGGTTGCACCTGGATGAAAGAACAGAGAACATTTTCAGGACAAACTTAGAGTGAACACCCACTGCCCTTTTGCCAACAGTAACTCACCCTCTGGGACTTGTTTTAAATTCGCTGACTGTTCTGAGGATGTGGAGGGGAGAACCTTGCTGGGGGAGGTAGGGGCAGCGGCGGCAGCAATGGCTGGGGATGAGAAGGGAGAAATGTGAGCGGGAGACATGACAAGAGGCCTGCTGGTCACTGACCCCTTGCACGCGGACATTCAGGAGCCACTTCCACAAACACACACCTGGACAGCCAGCATGACGGGTGAGTCTAGACAGGACTACCCTCAGCTGTACCTGTCCTCACCCTCAGCCTCACACCTGCCATCACAGATGATGGCACACAGAACCCTGGTACCCCTGGCCCCTGCCAGCATCTAGTTCTGAGCCCAGCAGTCCTCAAGAGACAAAAAGATGCAGAAATGCTTAACTTACAAGGTTTCTTGGCTTTCTTTTCTTCTTCTAGAAAAGAAAATTTTCAGAATTTAGCTATTTTGAAGCACAAGAAAATGAGACTTTCAAAACACCATCATTACGATCACTCACAAGAATGAAGCTAGGATGTTTTGACTTAAAAAACGTAAGGGGCAAATATAACAAGTAAATGAACCTGTGGGCATAGAAACTTCCATTAATGGTTATGGGTGGAGGGACCAACTAATAAAGAACAGGAAGGAATTTTCTGGGGTAATGGATAGTCTTTATCTTGATGTAACAGTGACATAAATATATGCACCACCAATGCACACATTTGTCAAAATTTATCCGACCGTGCATTTAAGATTTGTGTTTTGCTGTAAGTTGTATCTCCATAAAATAAAAAATGCACCCCCAACCCAGCAAAGTCCACAAAAAAAAAAAAAAATGTGCTTGTGAAGCACCACAAGTCTTAAGAAATATGTGGAGTGTGTTCTTATGGGAACTGAGTTTAGCCACAACAGTGGTTTTCAAAGTGTGGGCCTCAAACCAACAGACTCAGCATCACCTGAGAACCTGCAGGAAATGCAAATTCTGCATTCCCCACACCTGCTACATCTGAACATGTAGGGGCAGGCCTAGCAATCGGGAGTACAAGCCTTCCGGATGATTTCAATCCACACTCAGGGTTAAGTGGGTTAGGAGATTTTGGGGTTTCCTCTTTCCACCTTCCCCACACTGGCATGAAGAAGGGGTGTTAGGGACTTATCCCTGCCTGCCTGCCTGCAGATGCTTTACATTACAGCTGTGCCCCGCGCTCATCTGCTATCCACCTCTACACCTCCCCACCAGATCCTCCCTCAGGCCCACATGGCCTCTCCCATGACCCCCCCCACCACCACTCCGTCTCACTTCAGAGTCCTACTTTTCTCAGAAGTTGCCTCCCTCTCTGCCCATTTCTTCACTTCCCAACCCTCTGCTGTTCCTCCCCACTGGATGGGCATCTTGGGAAGACCTGTGGGAAGGCTGTGACTTCGGCTGAGGGTACAGGGCCCCCTCCCTGGGCCTCACAATTCTCAACAGTTTCGTCTACACTTGGCCTCCCCCATCCTATTTCCCCACCTCTGCTGATTTATTTTGAGCCATTTTCTACAGAGAAGCCTCATTCATTCCTGTTCATGGCCTGGGCCTGCCTGCGCCCAGCCCCACAGCTCAGGCCTTGAGTGCTGCCTGTGATCTGGGGCAGCCGAAAGGAAGCTTTCAGTGGGGGTGTGACTTGAAAACCAGATTTCTGTTCCTTTTCACCCAGCCCTTCATGCTCTTTCCCAAAATGTGCCCTTCGAGATTTTCCAGCTTAGCCGAACACCCCCTCCCATTTGCACCAGGCACCCAGCCCCTGAGTCCACGCCATCCGGAGTCTGACACCACACGGTTGTCTGCTAGAGGCCACTGAAACCTACAAACAGCCCCGAGTTCCCTCCCCACCCGCACCCTCATTCACAGGGACTTCTCAGGGAAGCAATTACAGGTCTGCGGGTATTTATAGCTTTGCAAGAACTTTCCCAATCAGTATTCCACAAGAACCAGGTGAAGTGGATATCATCATAGTCCCAATTTGACAGAGGAGAAAACTGGGGCCCGTTCTTTCCCAAGCCCCCTTCTCAAAAGCACAAGCTCCTTACTGAGGTAACATCACACTGAAGGGGCAAAAACTGATTCTGAGGGAGGAGTGATGAAAAAAATCTTAATCCTTGTGTAAAAGTACAAACACAAACAGATAGACCATATATATGTGGTATTAAAATTTCATGGGTGGGAAAATTAAGAAAAAAACTTTCTATAAATGCCTGGGGTGCAGGGGGTGGAGTACGGGGGAAAAAGGGAAGCGTGTGCTCCCCAGGAGGTTTAGCCTCCCATATCCTCTGGGAACTCCACCCAAGAACAAAGCTTGCTGTCAAAAATCGTTCTCAAAACAAGCCAGCTCTGCAAAGGGCTGGGCCATCTGGAAGGAGCAGAGGCACGGCCCAGCCACAGCCATGCTGCTGCCAAGGGGACCGCGAGGAGTTACTTACTGGGGACCTTCTTCATAGGGTATGAGGGTTTGTGTGGGGTCGTCGGCTGTTGCTCCCCTGGGTCCCCTGTGCCAAAGAAGAAAAGGTTAGTTTCTTTGCTCTTCTAAATCAACCTAAGGAGTCAGCTTGGCCATGGATGAGAGCGTAGAGGATTTACACGGACGGCCATTTCCACTGACCTTACCAGCTAACCATTTACAGAAACAAGGTTACAGAAGGGACCGGTTTGGTGTCCTGCCTTTCTCTGGGGTGGAGTGTTTTCTTCACCGACACCCAGCTCCCTGACCTCTGAACCCTCTCTGAGCTTCAGTCTCTTGGGTGTACAAAGGCGTTGACTCCCCTCTCTCGTGGCTGGTGAGAGCAAGACACCTGGTATGTTGGTATGTTGATCTTCAGCTTTCGAGAGGGGATGGGGGGAGAGAGGGGTAACAACGGGGGGGGGGGGAGTTGGGAGGCTACAGTGTCTACAACTGGGGGGTGGGAATCCTATACTGTCAAAACACTAGCAAGGAAGTAAAATAATGATGCTTTAATAACAATTTAAAGAAAGATGCCTGGTGTGAAGCAGAGCTCAATCCACATTAGTTCCTTCCTCCTGGGTTCCTTCTCAGCCCTCTGCCCCTAAACCAGTGATCGCCGATGGAGGAGGGAAGGTAACATGCATGGCTAATTCATCAACAGCTTGGCCCTCTACCCTGAGCCGAGCCACGCCCATATCAGAGACCCTTCTGCAGGGATGTTCAGCTTGCCGAGCTGAAACTCAAGCCCAGCCCCTGCATCACACAGCAAAGATTCCGCGTGTGCCAGGCTCTGTGCTAAGCACCGGGGGAGAGTGCTGAAGAAAACACAGACTCAGCCCCTGCCTCCCAGAGATCACAACCTGGTGGGGGAAACAAATGGGACTGGCACGAGTAAAATGACAGATGTGCAAAGGGCTGATAAGGACCTTAGTCTGAGGGCGGAGTGGGCCTGGTAACAGGGGAGACCTGCTGAGAAGTTTAATGTTTCAACTGAGCAAAGAGTGAGAGAGTCAACTACCTAGTGAAGACGGTGAAGTGGAAAGGGCATCTACAAAAGCCCTGGGCACTTAACCCAGCTGAGCATATGAGACCTGAACACAGAGATGCACGGAAGGAGGAGGCATCTTAGGGTGGAGAGATGGTCAGAGCCTGACCAGGCAGGAAGCTTGTAGGCCAGGGTGAAAACTGCAGTTTGTGATCCAAAAGCAATGGGAATTCCCTGGAGGCAGTGAAGGGGCAAAGGTGCTACGAGCCCAGGTTTGCATCCTGAAAGCTCTCTGGCTGCCATGGGAGAAGATGCAGAGGGACTGTTAAGAAAGCTGCCCCAGATAACAGCAACAGAGAGCAGAGGAGCGAGGTCAGGTGGACTGTTGGTGGATCAAATAGAGAGGGAAGGAAAGAGGTGTCAAAATTTCCCCAAACTAGCCACCTCCCCCAAATACACTTACAACCCAGAGTTCATTCAAATCCCGTCGGAGTCAGCACCAAGATCACAGACAGAAAGAGCCCATTCAGAAAGTCCCACCGTAACCTCAAGCCCCCAAAATAATTTAGGAAGGATGTTACACTCCCAGGATAAAGCAGACTGGCCATGACGCTCCAGGTAGAGGCAGATGTTTCAGGACCTCCCCTCCAGCCCCATCCCCCTTCCCAGGTCTAGATGGTGTCCATCTCCCCTACCCCAAAGGAGGGATGCATCCATTTCAGGAGTCCCAGTAGGGACAGCAGAGATGGCTAGTGGTTACCTGGGCAGGTGGGCTCCTTGGCCTTGTCCTGGCACTGCTTTACATATTGCTTCATCTCCTTTTTAAGGTCTAATGCGCTCTGGTAGATGACCTTTATCCACTCGTGATTCATCTCCACCTTGGGGATGTAGACAGGCTTCGTGGTAACTCCCTGTAGTTTTGCTGCTTTCTAGAATAAGCCAGAGATTAGTGCAAGCAGTGCCTATGAAGCCAGAGCCACTGTAGCCAGGGATTGCTTCCCTGAGCCCCTGGCTGCTCTGTCCAATCAGCCATCTCAAATTACAGGTCAGAGGTCACTGGGCTAAGCGCCACTCTAAAATGCAGCACTCTGGAGCTCCAAAGGCACTGAGAGGCCCCTCACCTTACAGAAGGGAATTGACAAGTCTAGAAATTCAAGTCTAGAAATGACAAGAGTCCTGCCCAGAACTCTGCCAATCAAAGGCAGGGACAAAGCTGTCAGGTGTCCCAAATCCCCTGGGTAATGCTCGCTCCACCCCTCCAGCTGGGGCTGGAAAAGCACAGCAGGCTCAGAACCCATCTCCATCCCTCAAGCACTGGCTCTGAACACATGTTCTGAAAAGGAACAGCAGTGTCCTAAGGGATGAGCAGTCAGGAGTGAGCGTGTGAGATGAAACTTAATGCCATCCCACCTGGGCGCGGGTGAGCAGCTGGCGTGGAGACAGAGAAGGTTCCCGGTCACTCCTGTGCCTTCCCCATGACCTGCACAAGGAACGTGGGCCAGCAGCAGTCACCCAGTCAATGGGTTCCTTGGAGGGCAGGCTACCTGCCTGGCACTACGCTATGCGCTGAAGGCGCTGGGAGGAAGGGCAATAAAATAAGGGATGGGCCTAGTGCGAAAGGGGCTGACAGCCTAAACACATGAAAACAAGCACATTGAAACAACATGACTGGGGCTGCAGCATATGAGGGTAACGTGCTAAAACAACAGTAATGGCAGAATAATGGTATCCAAGGAAGATGGGGGAAACTGGAGTTGTCCTGCAAAAAGAACATGATTCACTAGGTGGAAAAGGTCAGCCATGGCTTCCCCAACCAGGGCCTGAGTGTCCCAGCCAGGGGCTAGGGTAGATGGCAAGAGATGAGGCTGCTGGCAAACTTAATATCGGGTCATGCAGGCCTCATGTGGGCCTGTGTAGGGTAAGGAAAAATGTCAGGCTTTTCTGCCCTCCTGCCATCAGGATAGATGATGGATCCTTGGGGTCCTGAATGCATGCCTGATGGCGGGCACCTGGAGTAGGGTGTGGGCAGAGGTAGATGGGATTCACCTGGGCTAAGACTGCTTTTTAAGGGCGGCGTCACAGGGATGCCAGCAGAAGCTGAGAAGAGCAGAAGCCGAGAGAGAAGCAGAGAACACCGGAGAGTCCAGATAGAGTGAAGACTTGCTGGGGACTGGGAGGCCTGCCAGCCTCCCGGCCCCCCAGCACCCCTGCCTGCCATGTACTAGGTAAATCCCAATAAAAGACCCGTAAAACCACTGAGGACTCTGACTCCTCCTTTACCCGGGGTGCATGGGATCAGAAAACCTGCACCGTGTCCATTCCTGCCTTTACAGCCTGGCTAAGGAACATGATGCCTGGAAGGGCAGAGGGGAGGTCTGTGTTGGAGAAAGATGCCTCCAGGCACTGTGAGGAGGAGGGATGGGGGAAGGGGAGGAGGTATTTGCAGTAGAAAACACGCTAAGATGACCCCCAAAGATCCTCCCCTCCATCAGGGTACACACTCCATGTAATCACTTCCCCCTGAATACAGGCAGGATGGTGGTGAATATATCACTGCTATGATTAGGTTATATCACATGGTGAAACTGAAGGAACTGAGATCCCAATTCTATTGGTTTTGAGTTAATCAAAAAAAAAAAAGGCCCTCAGTGGGCCTAACTGAGTCAGGCAAAAGTCCTTAAAAGAGGAACTGGACCTTCCTGGAGGGAAAAATGTCTCCAGTGGCTTTGAAGAAAGCTGTCCGGTTGAGAGGCAAGAAATGGAGGCAGACACTTGAGCTGAGAGCAGACTCAGTTAACAGCCTGCAAGAAAGCCGGGACCCCAGTCTTGGACCACAAGAAACGGAATTCTGCCCTCAACCACAGGAGCTTGGAAAATAATCCTGAGCTCCGAAAGGAATGCAGCCCAGCCAACATTCAGACTGCAGCCTATGGGACCCTCAGAAGACAACCCTCTAAGCCACACCCTGAGGCCTGAGCCACGGGCAGTATGGGATGACAAGTGTATGTTCTAAGCCTGAGTGTGTGGCAGGTGGTCACGCAGCACAGAGTAAGACTACAGGGTGTCTCAGGGATGCTGACGGCCCCAGCTCCTTGAGGGTCCCAGTGCGCCTGTAATGGACACAGTAACAGGAGGCAGAAACACTTAGACTACAACCTCCAGACCCACCTCCAGAAACTCGAACTCGTCCCCCTTAGCCAGAGCAAGTTCAGTCTCCTCCTTCAGGTTTTGGATCTCACTCTTCTTCTTGAGAAGGATCTGGTAGATGCTGTCAAACTTGACAGTGACCCGCTTCTCCTCTTCTTTGATCTTTCGTGTCAAGCTGGCCTCTGAGGCATCAATGAGAGCCTTCATTTCCAGGAATTCTTGGCTAATTTGCTCCACCTTCTTCTGTGCAGTCTCCTAAGCAGGCCAAGAAAAGGGGGCATCCGTCAGACTGGCAAAACAACCTATCAGGTGTTGGGGGGATGTAGCACACGAGGCCCTCTTACCTGTGTTTCATGGGAGTACAAAGAGGCAAGTGTGAGCAATTTGGTATTTAGTGACTCAGAAGGTGCTCAGAGTCACCTATGAATATGACCTATGCCCGATGACCCAGCAACTCAACCCAAGGAATAAATTCTAGGAAGGTTCTCAGACACCTGCCCCAGAGATACACACAAGGACGCTCAGAAGCAGCATCGTTTGAAACAGCAAAAATCTGGAAACAATCTGCACATCTATTAGGAGGAGATGGGACACAGAGGCTGGGAGTTAGCCTAAGCTGGAAGCTAATGAATGCAATGATGCACGGGTAAGTGTCCACGAGGAAAGGACAACCTATGAGAGAAGGCGTACAGCCTGACGGTCTCCGCGTGAAGTTTAGAAACAAACAGAATGGTGGTATTTATTGCTAAAGAGTGGATACATGCATTATAAAAGTATAAAGAAACATCTGAGAAAGGGTGAGTAAATTCAGGATAGTGGCTACTTCTAACAGAGAGGAAGGAGGATCTAAAAAGGGAGAAGCCAAGTGGGGATTTTATTTATCTGCATTGGTGATGTTTTATTTCTTAGCCCAGGAGACAGTTCATGAGTCAATTGTTTTAGGGAAAGTGTAAGAAGCAGTGTAGGATAAATGGAAGTATCAGGTTTGTTCTGTCTTCCCGCCATTAGCATCAATGATCGACACCTGTGGTCTTACAGGAGTGCCTGATGGCCGACCTGGCGCATGGTGTGGGCGTGGGTAGTGGGCACCTGAGTCAAGACACTGAGCATATAAGGGTTGCAGCAGCGGACAGAGGGAGACGGCAGAGGACAGTGCAGCAGAGTGCAATAGAGACCAGGAAAGAATGCCAGAGAGCCCAGAAAGAGTGAAGATTGGCTGGGGCTAGGAGGTTTGCCGGCCTCCTGGCCCCCAGGCTTCCCTGCCTGCCCTGCACCTGGTTGCCTCACTACAAATGATATGGAAAGATCATTAAAAGCCTGATTGTAGGGTAAGGAAAAAAGTAGCAGGCTTTTTTGCCCTCCCGCCATCAGGATAGATGATGGATCCTTGAGGTCCTGAATGCATGCCTGATGGCGGGCACCTGGAGTAGGGTGTGGGCATAGGTAGATGGGATTCACCTGGGCTGAGACTGGGCTTTTAAGGGCGGCGTCACGGGGACGCCAGGAGAAGCCGAAGGAGAAGCCAAGAGAGAAGCAAAAAAGCAGAAGCAGAGGCAGAGAACGCCAGAGAGCCCAGAGAGAGTGCGGATTTGCTGGGGGCTGGGAGGACTGCCAGCCTCCTGGCCCCCCAGCACCCCTGCCTGTTGTGTACCTGGTAATCCCAATAAAAGCCTGCAAAACCCCTGAGGGCTCCAGAACTCCTCCTTTACCAGGTCTGCATGGGATCCTAGAAAACCTGCTCAGTGGCCATTCCTGCTCCCTACACTGATAAAGCCACCAAGGGCTCCAGGACTCCTTTATTCATCTGCCTAGATCATAGGAAATATGCTCTGTGCCTTCCTGACGCTACAAGCAGTTCTAGAAAATGTCTAGAGAATATCATCCTCTAGCAGTGCACTAATAACCATAGTCACTTGCTACAAGAGGGCTTGCAATGTGGGTAGTCCAAATTAAGGGGGGGCCTCCTTGGTGGCACAAGGGGTTAAGTCATAGCACTGTGAAGTTATCTGTAGCCACTAGAGCATGAGTTCGATTCCCCCATCAGGGAGCTACCCACATGGTGCAGCAGACTTCTCCTGTCTCACCCGCTGCTCCCCTCAAGCAGTGTATTTCACTCAGTCCACCTGTTCTGTTCCCCACTCTGTCTCCGGTGAATCCTCTCAGCCCCCCACAACTCTGACCTGTACCCCAGTTCTTTTATGCGTAAATAAATAAATCTTTTTAAAAAAAGATGTGTTATAAGTACAAAATACACATTGGCTTTAAAAAAATTTAATACAAAATAAAATTTAAAATGTACAAAAAGGACTATAATATATCTTAATATTTTTTTTGGTTAATATTTTAATGTTAATGAAATACTAATGACTACATGTGGAAATGATAGTACTTTGGATGTACTAAGTTACATACAATGTAATATGAAGATTCATTTCAAACAATAAAATTAATTTCAGGTGTTACTCAAATTTATCAGAGGTTATATATAGTTAGTCTCGAGCTAGCTGCTCACGCTGTATTTCCATTGGACAGCGCTGCTATTAAAGTTGCAGTTTCACTTTACATCTTGAGTAACCTCAGTAGCTTGGAATCAAACATACCAAACAAACACATGCAACGGAGACAGTATACAGGGAACTCAGTTATTTCTCTATCCAATCTACCAATGCTCCCGTATACATACTCTTTCCTTTCAGTAAGAGAATACCCCTGGAGGGCCTCCCTGGTGGTGCAAGGGGTTAAGCAGCATTGTGAAGCTACCCACGGCCTATGCAGCACAAGTTCGATCCCCTACCGGCCAGGGAGCTACCCACATGGCACAGCAGACCTCTCCTGTCGCACCTGCTGCTCCCCTCAGTAGTGTATTTCAGTCTGCCTGTTATTTTCCCCATTCTATCTCTGGTGAAGTCTCTCACCCACACACTTCCGGCCTTCACCCCAGTTCTTATATGCATAAATGGATACATCTTAAAAAAAAAAAAACATACCCCTGGAGCTTCAGATGGGCAAATGGCTGCCTAAACACATTTCCCAGCCTTCCCTGAAGCTACATTTGGTCATGTGATTAAGCTGCTCCCAAAGCAGCATGAGCAGAAGTGATATGCAACATTCTTCTTCCCTGTTCCCCTTTCACATTCTAGAACAAAGATGTAATGCTGACCCAACTTCAAAGAGATGAGGAAAAAACTGCATGTAGCAATATGAAATGTTGCAATAGGAAAGAAAGATGCTGAATCCCTGAATGATCATGTGGAACAGAACCACCCCACTAGCCTGGGTTGTTTGTGCCTGGGCTTGCACAGTGTGCAAAATAAAGATCTATCTTTTTATCTCCTGTTTTTATCCTATCTAGTTAAGCCCATGAGTTCTGGGGATACTTTTGTTGCAGCAGTGTAACCTGTCCCCTAACCAATCCAGGTACTTTCACATGCATCCTTTCATTTAAGCTTCAAGGTCGCCTTCAGAAAGTTGTTATCCCATTATGCAGATGGGAAAAGGAAGAATCAGGAGCTGCCAACATGATCAAAGTATCACAAGCTAGTCTGTTACAGAGCTGGTAATCTATCCCAAATCTCATCTAATTAAGCCATAGCTCACACAACAAAAACAGGTGCTGCAGTTCCAGAACCGGATATTTAAGAATCAAATCCCCTTTCAATATCAAAGAAATGTAACCTTAAAAAGAGTTTGAAAACTAGAGGGCCTTTCTGGTTGCACAGGGGTTAGTCTCAGCACTATAAAAGCTTTCGCCAGCCACTGCGGCATGAGGTCAATCCCTGGCCAAGGTGTTACTCACATGGCGCAGCAGACCTCTCTTGTCTCACCCACTGCTCCCCTCAGCAGTGTATTTCACCTGTTCTGCTCCCCGCTCTGTCTCTGGTGCATCCTCTCATCTCCCGCCCCTCTGGCCTACACCCCAGCTCTTGTGTGCATAAATAAATAAAAAAGAATCTTTAAAAAGTTTGAAAACTAGAGCGAAAAATATCATCCTTCTTTCTAACACTCCAACAATTCTACCCTTTTTACTATACTTCTTTCCAGTCTTATTTTTTTTTAATATTTCCTGTGAGTGGTTGAGTGGTAACCCCCCAAAAGATATGTCCAGGGTCTGCTAACATGGCCTTACTTAGAAAAAGAGTCTTTGCAGATGTAATTAAGAATCTTGAGATGAGATCACCCTGGATTACCCAGATTAGTCCAATGACAAGTGTCCTTATTAAACACAGAAGACACAGAGGGCAAAGACCACATGAAAATAGAGGCAGAGACTAGAGTGATGCAGCCACAAGCTAAGGAATGCCTGAGCTACCAGAAGTTGAAAGAAGCAAGGAAGAATTCTTCTTTATAGCCTCAGAGAAAGTATCAACACTGATCTGGGACATCTGGCCTCCAGAACTATGAGAGAAGGCATTTCTGTTGTGAAAGCACACATTTCTGTTGCTCTATGCCAACTTTCTGATAATGTGTTACAGTCGTCCTAGTAAACAGCTATACCTCCTCTTTATACACAGATGCAACTCTGGTTGGGTATACATTTTTGCTTCCTAATTTCCTAATTTTTTAATGATTTCCCCAAGGTTGGACTTATAGGCACATCACAGTTTGGGTCGTGAACCATGCCTCTGTAAGACACAAAGCTTTTTAAATGTTTTGCAAGGTTGACATTTAACTCTAACACTATACAAGGACCCAGCATGAGCCTCATGGGGGTCAGAGTTGAGCCTGTCCTGCCTGGGGGCCACTCACCCGCACAGCCTGCTGCTTGGCTCTCACATCCTCCAAAGCCTTCGACGCTCCATTAATCTGGCCATATAAGACAGTCAGCTTATGTTTCATCTTGGTCTGTGGAGGAAACAAACAAGGTTAAAAAAGCACCTCAGTCCAGCCCCCACCAGCACCAACACCAGGGACCACCCGTAAATCCATCCTACAGGTGTTTCCACCACCCAAATCTTGCCTGTTTGTAGCTTTTTGGGTTTTTGTGTGTTTGTTTTGTTATTTTTCTAATGTTATTTTTTTTAAAGGAAACAAATTTTATTTTAATTTTAATTTTTTATTGAAGTAACATTGATTTCTTTTTTTTTTTTTTTGTAACATTGATTTCTGTATGTGATTTAGGGACACAGGTTCACAGCTCCTCAGATGTATGTTACCATACCGCACCCACCACCAAAGAACCCACAGTCCCCCACAACTTCATTCCACCCCCTTTCCTTTACTCCCCATTTTCTCTAACATTGTCAATTCTACAGTAGGATTTCTAGGGTTGGTTTTGGTTTAGTTTGGTCTGTTCCTTTGTTTTGTTTTCTATTTTCCACATATAGGTGCCGCTTAAGGCTTTTTGAAGCGTTCTTGTATTGACTGTCTCTGCTCATTCTTTTAGGGGTGGGGCAGGAAGGGTCACAGGACAAAAACAAGGCAGGACTCAAAGGCAGAACTTGGTTGGTAAATAAGAGATTAAATAAATCTGACTCTAGGCCCAGACATCTCATGCCATAAGTTTCTTTGGCCTATAGTATTTTGGGTGTTTTGTTTTGTTTTTCACTAGTTTTTCCCCAGCCCATGCATTCCTGAGTTATCTCTTCATAGTTTATCAAGTTAGCCTATCAAAGAAGGGAGTCATAGACCTTGAGACTAGACCGGGTCAAACTGGCGCTGCATGCACACAGTTTCTATGTAACACTCACCCCAGAGCTGCCCATGAGCCCCACCTGACTGCTGAGCTGCAGCCGATTGGTGCTCACAATTAGCACAAGAAATGGGCCACTTAGATGGACAAATGGACGTTAGCCAAGTCTACTCTGCTTGGCTTCTCAGCCAATAGGTTTAATTCCTTTCTCTCAAGCCTCAGTGCTAAAACCTGTATAGGCCCCCAGCCCTGGCAGCTCAGAATCTCTTATGTCAGGCCTCGCCAGTGGTGCAGAGGGTTGAGCGCCGCACTGTGAAGCTGTCTGCAGCCTCTGCAGTGCAGGTTCAATCCTGGCCAGCTGGTGAGGGTCCCACATGGTGTGGCAGACCTCTCCTGTCTCGCCCCCTGCTCCCCTCAGCAGTGTATTTCAGTCAGTCTGCCTGTTCTGCTCCCTGCTCTGCCTCTGGTGAATCCTCTCACCCTCCCACGCCTCTGGCCTGTACCCCAGCTCTTGTATAAAAATAAATAAATCTTTAAAAAAAAAAAAAAAAAGAATCTCTCATGTCCAGGGAGGGCTCCCCAGAGCCCTCTTTCCTTGGTCTTTCATTGCTCAATAAGCTCCAACACCTTGCCTGCCCTCGTAGGTGTCTGTGGAGTCCTCTTTTCAGTCTTGACTGGAGGGTCTCAAGGGTCCTTTCCAGGGCTTGGGAGCAGGACCCTCAATCCATTCCCTCAGTTCCTAGCAGGTGGAGCAGTGGATGGTGGCTGGTTCCCTCTCAGCTTATCCACTTGTGTCGCTGGAGGGTGGCATTGAACTAAGAGACCCCAGATCCTCCCTTGTCTGATGACGGGATATAGTGTAATAAGGAAACTAGGAGCACAGGGTTTGGAGACAGAGTGATCAGGGCTCCAGTCCTAATGCCCAGTTGTCCATGTGCCTCTCACCTTCATTTCCTTAGATACAAGAGTTCCCATCTCACAGGGTTAGCAGAATTAACTGAAGTCACGTAAGTCCTCAACACAGTGACTGCATCTTAATAAGGACAAACTAAATGTCAGCCTTATTATTAAGAGCTTCTTCACTAGAACCCATTTTAAAGGTGATAAAACTGATGAAAGAAGAACAGCAAGGAGGCCAAGCTCGCACAGACAATTGCTTCAGTAACAGATGAGGTCTTCAAACCAATTCTCCCACTACGAACAACCAGATAAGCAGACAGAATATTGGGAAGAAAATCTACTAAAAGACAATGGAAAGCTAATAAACAGACCAAGATCTGGGAAAGGAATCCCCCAGAGCTAAGCCTGGCGTGTGGGCTGTTCTCACAGCCACGCCTGTGGCTCCAGGAGACAGCTGGGAGAGAGCTGTCAGCCTCAGGGAGACAGCAGGACAAAAATCAAAGTCCAAGTTTCACTTGATAAGACCTAAGGCAGGGATCCAAGGGCTCCATCCCAGGAGAGAGGGATGAACAAACAGTTTCCATGTGGCCAGCAGTTGCCTGAAACTGAATTAAAGTGATTCATTCAGAACTACTACACCCTTAGCCACCTCCAGAATCAAAAGTAAATTTGCAGGAAGGTAGACAACATCATCCAAGGACTCACATCATTTCTATAAATTTCCATAATTAACATCAGAGTCGCCCACCTCCCAGTTCAAAAGAAACGCTGGGGCACAGATAAGGGAAGTACAATAACCACCATGATAATAACAGCTTCTATTTATTATGTGCTTACAATAAGCCAGGCATTGTTCTAGTGTTTTACATGTGTTAACTTATTTAAGCTAAGGACAATCCCATGAGGGGGAGTTACCTGGCCTCTACTGATAAGGACACTGAAGCACAGACTAAGAGGTTTACACCAGGTCACATCCCTGTAACTGCTGTTAGAAGATCCTGGTGTTACAATGTTAGACTGCTGCCCAAACTGAGAACACTGGAAATTTCTAGAAAAAACAAACAAACATTTACTTTCCCTAACTAGCTGACTCAACTTACTCTGGCCTTCCTTCTACTTTCCTGCCTCTCCCACGTCACTCAAGATATTCAAGGCAAAACCTGACCTTGAATCTGTACGCGCACACTCAGTGACATGTAAGGGCTGGAAGCTGAGACCAAGGTCACCCTAACTCAATCCCAAAAGCCCAAGACACTGACCTTTTACAGAATTGATCTCTGTGACAATGCCCTTTGACCTGGCCTTTAACTGTTGAAGATAAACTGCGAGCCCAAGGCAGAAGGCCAAGCCCAGGCAGATCCCGCCTCACAGGCAATGAAGCTGGAAGAGATCTCGGCATACCAACGGTCTCACCTTCACGAATGCACCTCTGAACCCTCTATTTTTAAAATTTGCTATCCTCAATTAACCTATGCATATGACAGTCTCCCAGTGGTGGAGAAAAGCCCGCGTGGCTTCAGGCAAAAGTGACCCAATACCTTTGACAGTCCCTGAATCAAGTGTAGAGAACTTTTTTAATTACTGAGGATCCCTTTACAGATTGGGGACTCCACATGGGAGGTACCAGTGGCAGAGATAATAAACCTTCTCCCAAGGCTGGGTCACTGCCCAGCCAGGGATGGCTGCCGCTAGCCATGGGCCGCAGCAAGGCTGGTAAAGGAGATTCGTTAAAGAACTCAGGCAGGGGAAGGCCTATTACAAGATAAAAGTTACTGGTTTGTGCATGTACAATGCATAAGTAAACCGGGTGCGGGTTCCGCTCTGGGGTCCTCGTGGTGGGGAAACCTGTCTCCAGGAGATGCTGAGAAGGGCCCTACCTCTACTTGCCTTTTGCCTCCAAGGATAAGAACTGCTAGAAGGGCCTTTTTTTAACTTTTTTAAGGTTTTATATTTATTTATGCATACAAGAGCTAGGGTGTGGGCCAGAGGTGCGGGGTGGGTGGGTGAGAGGATCCACCAGAGACAGAGTGGGGAGCAGAACAGGCGGATCTACTGAAATACACTGCTGAGGGGAGCAGCAGGCGAGACAGGAGAGGTCTGCTGCGCCATGTGGGTTAGCTCCCTGGCTGGGGATCAAACTCATGCCGCAGTGGCTGACAAGAGCTTCATAGTGCTGAGACTTAACCCCTTGTGCCACCAGGGAGGCCCTACACAGCAGCCAGCTGCCCAGGCCCTGCAAGCCCACCTATCCTGAGGCAAAGAACTGGGGGCCTACAGCCTCCTCCCTCCAGCTCTCCTCTCCCCTATACTCAAGCAACAGAAACACTAAGGGCTGTTCTTATGGAATGTTCACTGTAAAACGCTATTTATAGAGTGTCTTATTTAATTTTCACAAGAACCTTCTGAGATAGGTACTATTATTACCCTGCTTTATGATTTCCCAGCTAGGAAGCAGAGCCAGAATTCAAACCCAGGCCTCAACATCCAGCTCTGATTGGAGCCTGTCAATCAGCCTAACTGGGACCTGCCCACAAGGCACTAAGTCCAGCTCATCTCTTGAGAGCCTCCCAACACCCTTGGAGGTAGTACAGCAATACTGTTAGTCCCATTTTATAAATGAGGAAGCCAAGGCTCAGAAAATCGCAGTGACTTGCCCTACACCACACAGGTGATGTGGGATTGAGCAGGACTCCTGTCTCCAAAGACTAGGTGTGTTCCAGGTGACAGGTGGAGACCTAGGTGACGGGGCCTGAGTTAGTTGTACCTGAGAGGTCTACTTTCGGGCCTAACCTAGAGGTCTGGTTTCTGAGACTCTGGGAATAAGTCCAGAGGAACCTAGCTTGGATCTGAAGCAGACCAGGCCAGGGAAGGCTGATGCCCAGTGGGAAAAAGGCCTGCACCCTGATCCTGGTGCCAACCTCCCAAAGCCTCAGATCCTCTCTTGCCAACAGGAGGATAGTCCTGTTGTCCCTGACAATGGAGACCGAAGGAAACCAGGCCACACATTGGAGCCTAGACTGATATAACCATAGGGGGATTGATTACACCATTTCAGTCTCCGCCTTTGAGTCCACAGGGGGAAATTGTGACACCCCCTGATAAAACCATAGGCCTAGAAGGCCACTAAGGCCATTTACTGATCCACCATTTCCTGATGAGTGCTCAGGCCCAGCGGCCAAATCCTCTGCTCCACATCACACAGCCAAGAGGGAAGCTATGGGGGGTGCAGGAGTACTGAATCTCCAGGGATTCCTGAGAATCTGCCAACACTCCTGCCCCTAATGATCCTCCCTGGCCATAATTATCCAGTTCACCAAAGGCTTTTGCGCGCATGACCTCAAGCCTCCAGGAATGGCACATGCTCCGGACTCTAATTTAGACTTGGATGTGAGGCAGGGCCATAGGGAGAAATGGTAAACTGTGGATTCAAACCAGCCAGGGTCTCCATGTCCACTTGGTCATTTACTGTATTAGCTCAAGGCTGAATTACCTTCTCTGCACCTCCACTTCTCAGATGTACAATGCAACTAATTATATCCACCTCATGGATGCTGCCAGGATTTCACAGTGCTCAGAGGTAACCTCCAGTGCTCATTATTGATATTCAGAACCCTTTACAAAACCACATCAGGCAGTACTGGGTTTAAGACAAACACCCCACCTGTGTCTTCAGTGGTCACCCCCGGAAAATCATAAAGAGGGTGGGGGGGACAGGAAGGGAGTGTAGCCTTGGATGGCAGATGACATTGTATGCCACCCATATAGGTCACTAGATCAACAGGTCACTCTGTCTGCCCCTGCCCAGAACTCAGGCCCAGCAAGGCCCACACCCCACAGCACTTGGTGACCCAGGATTGGCGGACATGTCTACCACGGTGCCCTTAGTCCAGCGCACTCTCCCTCCATCCCTACCTCCAGGTCGGCGGTGGCTTGGCTCAGGGGCACCGGCGAGCAGGTCTTGTGGTCCACCAGGCAGACGTGACAGATGCACTCGCGGTGCTCGGAGCAGAAGAACTCCCTCAAGCGGTTATGCTGGGGGCACTTTCGGCGCATCAGGTCGCAGACCGGAGGCTGCAGCTGGTGGTCACGGAAAGCAGGGCTGTCGAAGTGCGGCTTCAGGTGCTCCTGGCAGAAGGAGGCCATGCACACGAGGCAGGTCTTGACGGCGGTCGCCTTCAGGCAGTGGTCACAGGCCACCTGGTGGGCCGCGCTGGGGGTCTGTGCGCGGGCTGGTGGCGTCCAGCCGTCGGGGAGCGCCTCCTGCGCCAGCTCGGCCTGCAGGAGCTGCTCCACCACCGCGCACAGCACGGTGTTCTTGTGCAGCTGAGGCCGCACGTGGTAGACGGCGCGGCACTGCGGGCACCGGTACGGCGAGCCCGAACAGGTCCACGTCTCATCCAGGCAAGCCCCGCAGAAGTTGTGGCCACATGGGGTGGTGACCGGCTCCTTGAAGGACTCCAGGCAGATGGAGCAAGACAGCTCCTCGGCCAGAGGGAACAGCTCCGCCATGGCGCTCCTGGGGGACCCGGCGCGCAGGAACCGACCCTGCCTGAAACGCACGAGCGCTCCGAGACCGCCCGGGAAACGAAACTGACGCCGGGAGGGGAGGTCCCGCCGCCTTCGGGAAGTCACGTGAGGGGTGGGCGGGGGTGGGGGCCGGACGCCGGGCGGGCGGGCCTCGGGGGTGGAGACTGGGGGGGCCGCTGGGGCGCGGGGGATCGCTGCGCTCGGGGTCGCCAACCAGCTGGCCCCGCTGCAGGAAGGCGCGCGACGCGCAGACCCCCGAGGGCTTGTGGCGGATGCGCGCGGGGCGGTGGGCTCCGGGGTCCACCCCGAGGGGGTGCTTCCTGCCATTTTGCGCGTGAGGAAACGAACACGTCGGGTGCGAGCTCTCTGGGTCCCAGCACGGGAGTCGAAAGCAAAACCAAGTCCGGTTTCTGCACAAACGTCCCTGCAGCCGGTCCCCTCCTGCGAGGAGCTCGTCCAGACCCGAGCTGGCCCACCCCTACCCCTGCCCCCGGCAGCCCCCGCCCCGCGAGCCAGCCTGGCCTCGTTGAACGGAGCTTTAAGAAGGTCACTGCGGGGACAGTCACACACTGCGCTGACCCAGCCCCACCCCGCTTCTTTTCTGTTTCCTTCCTTCCTCTTTCGCTGGTGCTGGGCTCCCACAGGGACAGGCGACCCCCCCGAGGCTGCAGCCCAGTCCCCCTCTCAGGCTCAACTTGGTGATTTCTTTCCATGTCACTATGTTCTCTGCTTCTTCCCCTTCTTGTCATGTGGCTTTACTGGGGTTTGGAAACAGCCCAGCTCCATGAAGGTTTTCTTTCTCTCAGGCACGGACATACATCCATGCGCACATGCAAGAACACATAGTACTGAAGCAAACGGTTTTCTAAAAATTATTTAGATTTATTCCTTTCCTTTTTTTTAGCGTGCACTCTCTGTGTTTCTCTGTCTCTCTGTCTCTCTCTCTCTCACACACACACACACACACACACCCTCCCCCTCCCCACAGGAAAAGTGTGTTTCCAGGAGGGGAGAAGTATTCAAAAGAAGGCATGGCGGGTGGGGGCAAAGAGAAAGATGGTGTTTGGGAGGAGTGAGGTGGAGTTTGCATTGGGGACAGGGTGGGCAGCAACAATGAGCAAAGGGCAAACTGCTGCTAGTAATGATTGGTTCCATTTATGGGGCACCTGCAGTGTCACAATGTCATGTCTTACAATCCTTACAAACCCTCAAGACAGAAGTCATTTTATCTGTTTTAGAGATAAGGGTCACACGTTTATACAAAACAGAACTGGGTTTCTAGCTCAGAGCTGCTTTTACTCACCATTGTATTTCCTGGTTCTGCCTTTCGATTTCCTCAGACACTTTACCCCGTTTATTCTCTTTCCTGTTGCCTGGTTGTTTGGGGAAGAAGGAGGAAGATTGATGAGAAAGGTAGGAAATTACCCTGCTTGCATAGTATCTCTTTTAACTTTCACAATAAGCCTTGCAGGAAGGTATAATAATCTCAGATTACAAATGAGAAAACTGAGGCTTAGAGAAACTAAATAACTTTCCTAAGACAATGGATATTGGCGTTCAGACTCTGATTCCAGATGCCATGTTATTTCCTTCTCTGAAGGGCTCTCTCCCAAGGGGAAGAATAGAGCAGTTCCAGGAAATAAACACTACAAAATCCCCTCTGAGCAGACACTTGTAGGTGAGGTGGCCTGCTGACTCATGCCAGCGTAATGGTAGAGTTCTCTTTCCATGTGGAATTAATAGAGCAGAAGGACTGGCTAGGCGGTGAAGATGTCTTTATCAAATTCCATGCAGTAAATATTTACTAAGATCTACTGTGCTAAAATTCCTTTTTTTGCAGTCACAGAATATACTTTGTACTGTTTCATTCTTTGAAAATGTTTAGAGACTTGCTTTATTATGAATGGAGACTTGCTTTATTATATGAATATAGTCTCTCTTGTTATTGGTTACTGACTTCATGGACTCAGTACTTTTTCCATCCTTTTACTTTTATTCTTTCTTCGCCTGGAATCTAAAGTGTAACTCTGGTATAGGTAGATAGATAGATATCTATCTATAGGTATAGATAGGTATAGGTAGGTATAGGTAGATAGATCATGTCTTTAAATGTGTTCTACCAATATCTGCCGCACTCAATCCTTTTACGTTAAAGGACTGATAAGGTAGGTTATACATCTACCATTTGCTTTTTTTTTTTCTTTTTGTCTCACATCTTTTTGGATTGAATATTCAAGTACTACCTCTGCTGTATTAGTATTATAATACTAATACTATATAATACTAAAGTACTATTTTTTTAAAGATCCATTTATTTATGCATACAAGAACTGGGGTACATGCCAGAGGTGCAGGGGGTGAGAGGATTCACCAGAGACAGAGTGGGGAACAGAACAGGCAGACTGACTGAAGTACACTGCTGAGGGGAGCAGCGGGCAAGACAGGAGAGGTCTGCTGCACCATGTGGGTATCTCCCTGCCTGGCCAGGGATGGAACTCGTGCCACAGTAGCTGTAGATAGCTTCATAGGTTGTGTCTTAACCCCTTGTGCCACCAGGGAGGCCCCTAGAGTACTATTTTTATCCCTTTGTTAGTTCTTCAAATATTCTTTCTGTCCTCCCTCCTCTCCTTTGGGAATCCCCTTTATGTGTTCCCATAGGTCTCTGCTAATTTCCAGAGTTCTGAAAAAAAGTTGATCCTGACAATATTTGTTAGTTTTCTTTCATGTACACAGAATTTTCCATGGCTCTTGACTCTATTTTTGCTGTCACCACATTACTCTTTTAACGTATTAGAGTCTATAGTAATAATCTCTCTTTTACTCCTGATATAAGTAACTTGTGATATGTTTTCTTTCCTTTTTTCTTGCTTAATCTACCTAATAGATTATTAGTTTTAACTTTTTCAAAGAAGCAACTTTTTTGTTTTATTTATTTATTTGTTTGTTTGTTTGTTTGTTTTGTTTATACATGCACTGGGTACAGTCAGAAGCACGGGAGGGTGAGAGAATTCACCAGAGCCAGAGCAGGGAGCAGAGCAGGCAGAAGGGCCGAAGTACACTGCTGAGGGGAGCAGCGGGCGGCAGGAGAGGTCTGCGTGCCATGTGGGATCCTCCTCCGGTGGCCGGGAAGCAGCCAGGGATGTAACCGGCGCCGCGGAGGCCGCGGGCAGCTTCGCAACCCAGCACTCAACCGCTGCGCCATCGGGGAGGCCCCAAAGAAGCAACTTTTGACTTTAATTTTTTTCTGTCATTTGTTTACTTTTTTCATTGATTCTTTCTCTTATCTACTACTTCCTACTATTTACCTTTTTAAAAAAAGTATTGATTTTTATGCATACGAGAGGTGGGGTGCAGGCCAGAGGTGGGGGGGGTTGTGAGAAGATTCACCTGAGTCAGAGTGGGGAACAGAACAGGCAGATTGACTGAAATACACTGCTGAGGGGAGCAGCGGGAGAGACAGGAGAGGTCTGCTGCCCTATATGTGGGTTAGCTCCCTGGCCCAGGATTGAACTCAAGCCTCAGCAGTGATAGCGCTGAGACTTTACCCCAAGGCTACCAGGGAGGCCCATACTGACCACATCTTAATTGATTACATGTGCAAAGACTACTTCCAAATAGATCATGTTCACAGATTCTGGGGATACAAAATATATTTGAGGGACACACAAATCAACCCATAATAATGCCTAACAAAAACGTTTCAGAATAAATGAAGAAAAATGGGATGAGCACAAAGTGAGAAAGACAAGGTCATGATCGAATTGAAAAACTTAACATATCCACTCAGAAATTTTTAGAGTAACTAGACAAAACTGTTAGGAAGGCTAGAGAATGCCTGAACCTTCATATAAACAACATTTATAGATTCAACAACTACCACACATACTTTTTCAAGTGCATTAGGAATGTTCACCAAGATCAAATGCTAAGCCATAAAATAAGTCTCAACATGTTTCAAAATAAATGAATATATTTAGGTATTTAGGTAATACAGCTGACTAAAACTGAAATCATTTTTAAAATATTCAGGAAAGCCCCAGACGTATGGAAATAAGTCATATCCTTACATTTTTTTTCACATAACAAAGAAAAAATTACAAAAGAAATTGGAAAATATTTCAAATGAATAATGAAAACACACTTAATCCAAATTTGTGGAATATCATTAAAGCAGTGCTTAGAGATATATTTATAGTTTTAAACACATATGTGAGAAAAAGGTTTAACAATAATGATCTAGTATTCCAGTTAATAAGCTTGAAAAAGAAGAGCAAATTAAACCAAAAGTAAACAATAAGGGGGCCTCCCTGACCCCCAGAGAGGCCCGACAGTCCTTCTTTACCTCTCACAATAATCTTTCTCGTGAAATCTACCTCGTCTGATAGCAATATAGTCACACTGGCTTTTCTATTGTTTGTAGGATTTATCTTTCTATCCTGTCACTTTAAACTTCTCTGTGTTTTTATGTGTAAAGTACTTCTCTTGTAAACTAAATATGCTGGGTCTGGCTCTTTTATCTAGTCTGAAAATCTCTGCCTTTAATGACACCATCACAAGACAAGGTCAACGTGGTCCATTTCTCGCTCCCAGTCTCACTGCATGTCGCAAAACACTGGTCTGCTCAAATAACTTACATCACTGGTGTTTCAAAACTTTGATCCCCATGACTCTGAAAGAGCCACAACCCATGGGTGTTCACCTCTGGCCTCTAAGGACGGTATCTGCTCATCCCAATGTGCCTACAAATATTCTCTAAGTATACGCTCATGTGGGAAAGATCTGGAAGCATCACTTACTAGTAGATCAACTGAATGTGTCAGTCCTGGCCCACATAAAATGTGTGGCCTCTGCAAGCCCTGAGCCAGTCCCTAGTGCCACTTCCTCTCTCCCTGAAGTGGGAGAGCACCTCAAGTTTGTCCAGGAGAAAGCCCCGCAGACAGCAGTTTTTAATCAGGCAGAGAGAGTACTTTGATTGGTCTAGTGAACAGGAGCAGCATCAAGGTCCCAACTGTGTCCTGGTCTTGTCAGCACTTACAGCTGTTCTTGTGGGTGTGTCACGGGGTATGGG